TAAAGGCTCAAGTGCATTTTTCAGTGCCGGATTCCAGTGTTAATGTAGCAATATTTAAATCAAATAAAAGTTGATCACTACAATAAGGAGGTTATACAATATTGCATGCTTGATAGTGGTGCTGTGTTGTATCAAGTTATGCAGTATATTGTTGCTGATTTGTCCTTTCCCACAAAACACACAGTTGCTCCACTTTACGGTACACCTTCATGTGAAAGTCTTTGAGTGCAGTGCTGGGGGAGTGCAACGTTGTTGGAGATTAACATTGCAATACAATATAGATTTATATTTATTTAACACCTTTCACATCAGGAGGATGTCCCAAGTTGATTAAAGATCCAATGGCATTATTCGAAAAGAGCAAGGAATTTCTCCTGTGGTTTTGGATAAAATTGTTCATTCATTTCATGGCTATTTGTGTGACATTGCTGTGTGCATATTGGCTCTCGAGGTTAATCTACAAAATATGCAGTCACTACGTTTTACAATAAAACCTGTGAACCACTTTGAGGCATCCTCCTGATGGAAAAGGCGCTATATCAAATGCAAGGATCATTATTATTGTTTTTACCATGTATATTAGTACCACAATAGTGGCAAGTACACCATCAATTTATAGCTTCAGGGTTTATTTCAGTGTCAGCAAACAGTGAATGAGTGACCAATTTGGTGAACAACTATAAGGTAGTGTAGCAGAGTTGACAGAAGGGAATATGAATAAGTTGTAATGAGAATTGTTTTTCATAAAATGTTTAAAGAATGAAATTGTTCAGTATTTTTATATTGCCCGTAAAGAAATAGGGATTGTGAAGAAATATTTTATAGCACCTGAAAATGCCTTGCTGAAGAAGAACTGTCATGTTCTATTACTTCACAGGATGTTAACACTCGGCAGACCAGAAGCAGAAATAATCACGATTTTACATAGAGAAGCTGAGAACTTTGTGTTCTTTAGACTCAGGAAAGTTAATATTCTATGTTTCCTTTGATATGCATTCATTCTTTGTCACTATTTCTAGAAATGTGAGTCAGTTGTCCAATATCAGGAAAGTATGTTAGAATAAATAGAAATAATGGGAGACAACATTAAGTGTAAATGCCAGAACTGTATTATGACCAACTGAAAAATGGGTAATTGAAATTTGGGCTCCTTGATCCATGCAGTTCATTTCTTTCCCCCCAACATTATGAGTTGACAGACAGTAATAATAATAATCATTGCATTTGAAATAGTGCCTTATCACGTCTTTGAGATGTCTCAAAACACTTCACAGGATGTACTGTAAAGTGAAGTAACCATATTTTGTGGGCGAAACACAGCAGCCAATTGCGCACAGCAATGTCCCACAAGCAGTCGTATATTGAATGACCACATTTCTTTATATTCATTTTTTTTAAGGGATTATTTTCCCCGCAAAAGTGATCCGCCAATCGACTAGCAACAGGGTTCCAATTTTATTTAGAGAATTGTTGTCAGGACACCGGGAGAAACTGTGTTCTCTTTTCGAATTGTACTATAGGATATTTCAACATTCCACTTGAACAGGCACACCTTGGTTTAACATCTCATCTGAAGGACAGAAAGAAGGACGGAAGGAAAGTATTGTTGATATTGACATGATTTTATTGACATTCAAGTAACTCATACAATGGAATTGCATATCAGGAAGGAAATAATATTAAGAATGTAAGAAAGCACAAAATGAAGAAAGGTCATTTGGCCCAAAATGTCTTTTTCCTTTCAGACTCACGTAAATTTTCCCGTAACTTGTATTCTGTTCCATCCAGTCAATTTCCTGAGGCAATGTTATGCCCAAAAAACATTTTACTTAGATTACAGTATTGAGATATGGTCCTTTTCTAAATTATAGAGCAATTTATAATAATAATAATCCTTGCATTTGATATAGTGCTTTTCACGTCTTCTAGACGTCTCTAAGCACTTCACAGAATATATCGTAGAGTGAATTGACTGCATATTTGTGGGCAAAATATGGCAGCTAATTGCGCACAGCAGTGTCCCACAAACAGTTGTGGATTGAGTGACCAAATTCTTCTTATTTTTTTTGAGGCATTATTATCCCCGGAAAAGTGATCCGCCAATCTACTAACAACCAGGTTCCTACTTACTGCTAGATAAACAGAGGTGTGTGGATAAGGAAACTTGCCCAACATTTCTCCATTTTGCTGATTTGATTCGCTTGCGAGGCGAGTGGTCTAACCACTGAGCTACAGGACTCCATTTATCATTTCATCTTAGATGTAATTTATGGGCTAAATTGAAGCTCAGTGCCCTTATACTGAATTTGACTAAATGAATACTATTACTTTAATGGTGACCTTAGAGGTTTGCCCTACAACTTCACACAAGATCACAAGATTGGTTTGGAGGAAGAAGGTGCTTCGACCCATTTGATGTTGTTGTTCATAATGAGTTGTCCTTTACAACTCTAAACCTACATCTTCTTGTTCTCTTGTCTTGGTGCATCCCATCTTGGGGTCGTATCTCATGTTCACCTAGCAGTAAATAGGAGCACGATTGTTAGTCGATAGTCGATTGGCGGATCGCTTTTCTGGGAGTAATAATTCCTTCAAAAAAAAATTGGTCACTTCAATCCACGACTGTTTGTGGGACACTGCTGTGTGCAATTGGCTGCCCACAAAATATACAGTCAATTCACTTTACAGTATATTCTGTGAAGTGCTTTGAGACGTCTAGAAGACGTGATAAGGCTCTATATCAAATAAGGATTATTATAAAAAAGGAGTATTATTATTCCTCAAACACTGAGGATCATCCTTGTTGCTGTCCTCTGCACTGTCTCTAGGCTCCCCACCTTAATGTCACGGTGACCAGAACTGAATGCAGTTCTCTAGCTGCCAGAGCACTGTACACCCTTGGGGGTTTAAACTCAACAGATTTAACAAACTAGCCCAGCATCCTGTTTGCATCTTTTTCAGTATTCTGACCAACGACCCTGACAAATTGGTCATTAACCTTTTGGTTGTTTGTAGGACATTGATGTGCACAAATGGCTACTCACATTACAAAAGCAGTCGCTGGACCTGAAAATAATCACTTGGATATATTTGGATCTGATAAGGCCAATAAAAATGCAAGTTCTTAATACTTAAATCTGGCAACCAGCATTGATTTTGCGATTATTCGTTTAAGCAAAAGTGATAGTTTATGATGTGTGGCAAATGAAGGAGCTCATAGCACCTAAAGGAACAACTGACATAGGAGTGTAATGCGATCATACACTATGCTTTTGAAGCAGACCATTCAAAGCAGTCGGTGCCGCTAGATTTGTGGTAAGTGATCAGTCAATGGTTTCATTTTGATAACTTGCACAGACTTGTCACATACCAACTTATTAATTCTAAGCATATCTTACATGAGAAATAACTTCAGGGATAGAATCCCATCTTTTTTGGCAGGACCTTGGGAAAAATAGGATTTAATTCCTGGAGTTATTTACCGAATACATGTATGAGTAGAACTTGTATGTGACAGGCCTATACCTGCCTTCAATCACTCAATACGAAATACCATTGTATCTAGGTGTTCTGCAGTTTGTGACTTGAATCACGTAATACTTTTTAAACTCCAGAAAATTTGTAAATCCTTTACAATGACATATGAAATCAATATTTTTAAAATTCTCAATAAAGAATCCCATTATTACTATTACAATTAACAATGTGAAGATATCTCAAAGCTGTGGGTGGTGGGGGTTGAGAGAGAACGGAGTCTGAAAGCACAGTCAAAAAGATATATCCTAAGGTGGTCTTTGAAGGTGTTGAGGGAGGGGCAAGGTAGGGGATTCAGGGATGGAGTTTCAGAGTGCAGGAATGGAGCAGCTGTAAGTTCGCCTACTGATGGTGGGGCAGATCAGGTGGGCGGCATGAAACATGCTTGCGTTTATTATAATTTAACATTCACATCAGGAGGACTTCTCAAAGTGTTTTACAGCATATATTGTAAAGTGTACTGAATCTGTATTTGTAGGCAAGTGCGGCAGCAAATTTACGCACCGCAATGCCCCACAAACATCCATGGCGTAAATGCCTCATTTTATCTGGGGGATAGTTGGCTAGGACCCAGGGAGAAACTCCCTTCTCTTTTCGAATTGTGTCATGGGATCTTTCACACCCACCTGAACAGGGAGACGGGACTTTGGTTTAAAGTCTCATCCAAGCGATGTCACCTCCACAATAAAGCTCACCCCCAGCGTTATATTAGAGTGTTAGCCTAGAAGAGGCTATGTGGGACTTGAACCTACAATCTTCTGAATCAGAAGCAAGAGTGCCTCCAACTGAGCCAGGCTAACACATGTATAACCTTAATAGGGTATAGATGAAGAGTACAAGTTGCTGTTCTTTTCTCATGTTGAGACACTGTTGAATTAAATTACATTTGTTCAGGTAAGTTTTGCTTTCAACCAAGTTTAACTGAAACTATTTGCTAAAACTTGCTTTAAGTACAGTGACTAAAAATTTCTGTTGGCCCGTGTGTAGACTCCTGTTAGACACCTAGAACATTTACCAATGTTGCCTCACTGGTGAGGTGGGAAGCTTGTGGGCATCACATGGGCTGCTCAGCTAGTGTTGGTAAATGGGCTAGGAGTCTTGCAGGAATCTACATGCAGACCCAGTTATTGATACACAATACAAAATTACATTTGTAAAGCGCTTTTCACGTCAGGAGGATGTCCCAAGGTGCTGAATGGTAATGCATTCCCAGTAACTAAACTTAAATTCACTTAGAACTGGCCGCTGAGAAGGGTGTCTGTGCACCAACAGAGCAAAAAGAAAAGGAGTGGCCACCGGTTGGTGTTAGACAGACTGGTGTTTGCCGAATAGAGACAATCTAATATGGAAAATCATTCAGGGTGGGAGGGTCCTGACAGCAGGTAGTTGCTGAATAAACTTGCTTTAACAGGTTTGATTGTGTATCAAAATCAATTTAAATTGAGTGATACTTTTCTCTCCTTCAGTTACCACAGAAAACATCATCTCTGCTTGGGCCTGGGTGATGTTTTTGCTACATACATATGGTTGTGAAGGTAAGTCAAATAAATATTACATTTATATGATGCATGTCATATGCAGTTATGATAATGTTAATGATAATGTGAGTATCTTTCATCTATGAATATGTAACATATCTCAACATGCTTTTAACTTAGCATGTTTCTGCTTCTATTGGTTTGTGTGCATATGTCTATGGCCATCTGCCCTCCACCTTTTTCCTTGCTCAACATCCAACCCAGTTCTATACAGCACTTTTAAGATGGGATCCTGAGTGAAAGTGCTATATAAATGCAAATTGTATAGTTGTATGTGTTGATCTTTCATTCTCTTCTGTGTTTTTTGACTAACTGCATGTGTTTACAATTATTTATAAATTATCCATGCATTTCCTGAACAGCAGAGATTGGGATGTGCACACTACAAACAACCAGAAGTTGGGAAACTCACTGACAGTTGAAATTTCTTATCTCAGTTTGTATGTTGTTGTGTATGTTATCTCAGTCTGTATCTCTGTTTTCTGCTGGTCAGGCTTCTGTCTCTTTGTGTTTGTGATTTTATCTTTAATGTTTAGTGTGTGTCTGTAGTTTTAGGTCCCCTTTTCTATGTATTAAATACATTGCCTTGGCAACATTTCCTGTAAAGTAGGTAGTATTTTGTGGAGTCCTGTAGCTCAGTGGTTAGAGCACTCGCTTTGCAAGCGAGAGACCTGAGTTCAATTCCAGGCAGGGCGAAACCTTGGGCAAGTTTCCTTACTCCACACGCCTAATAATAATCCCTCCAAAAAAACAAAACAATAATAAATTGGTCATTTTCAATCTACGACTGTTTGTGGGACATTGCTGTGCGCAATTGGCTGCCGCGTTCGCCCACAAATATACAGTCAATTGACTTTACAGTGTGTTCTGTGAAGCGCTTTGGGATGTCCTCCCGACGTGAAAAGCGCTATATCAAATGCAAGGATTATTATTATAGGATTATTATTTTGTCCAGAGAATCTGTTGTGTCTGAGGCAGTATCCTGCATGAAGAGCACTGGATAAATGCAAATTGTTATTGTGTGCCACATGCTCACGAAACTTCAGCTTGGAACTCATCAGTGGATTGATTCCTTGGAGAAATCAGTGACTCTGGCTCTGACTTTTCCTATGTTCATATTGGTCCATATCCAGTTCAAACTGATTGGTAAAAGTCTCCTCTGTCTACCTGCAATTCAGATCCTATGTTTGGATAATCTCAATCCAGTCATATTCCTATTCAGCTTCTTATCATGTCATCGAACATTTCAATGCATTTCACAAGATTTACTATAAAGGGTAGTGATTATATTTATAAGTAAATATGGAGCTAATTTGCACAGAGCAATATCTCGCAAACAGCTACAATAACAACACCATGCATTTATATACCACCCCTCACGTAGGGTAGCATCCCAGTGCGCTTGGAGCTATGAAGTGAATGACCAATCTTATCTGGAGCCTGATGCCCAGCCAGGGGAGGCGGTAGCATGGTTGAAGAGATGTGATCTGAAAATGGGGAAGGAGGGGCAAGGCGGATGGATTGAGGGAGAGAGTTCCAAAGTTTCGGGGCATAGTGGTTGGAAGCACAGCCGCTGATGATGGAGTGGAGGGGCCGGAGCCAGCACAGCAGAGGTTAACTGTATAATAATAATAATAATAATAATAATAATCCTTGCATTTAATATAGCGCTTTTCACCTCTTCAAGACGTCTCAAAACGCTTCACAGAATATGCTGTATAATAATAATAATAATAATAATAATCCTTGCATTTGATATAGCGCTTTTCACGTCGGGAGGACATCCCAAAGCGCTTCACAGAACACACTGTAAAGTGAATTGACTTTTTGTGGGCGAACGCGGCAGCCAATTGCGCACAGCAATGTCCCACAAACAGTCGTAGATTGAAAATGACCAATTTATTATTGTTTTTGGTTTTTGGAGGGATTATTATTAGGCTCTGTGTGGAGTAAGGAAACTTGCCCAAATATCAAATGAAAGGATTATTATTATATCACTGAAAGCCCTTGTGTCTGTGTTGTAGATATCTCATTCCTGCTTGCACTGCCTTACCTCATGTTGATGTTTGTTCTTTTCATGTACAAATTGACAGTTGGATTGGGAATGACTTGTCACGATTTCGACTCTCCATCCGAAGTGCAACTCGGCTCAAATCTCACAATGTCGTGCAGCTTGAGGGAAAAGTGCTTTGATAAGTTTGAAGCAAATGCAAGCCACATATTCTGGATAGTAAATGGTGTTCGAGCATCACAGGAGCAATATCGAGCCATCAATGCAAGCGTTTCCCTTCTGTCCTTGAGAAACTTTAATGTGCCGAGAAGTGAAGTGGAATGCGAGATTGACAGTAAAGGGAAACTACTCACTCTTCACATATTCATAGTCAAAGCAGGATGTAAGTGGTCACTTTATAAATGTGGAGTTAAAATGGAAAACTGGGAATGCTAGAAATCCCAAATAAAATCAGAAAATATTGCAAATACCCAACAGGTGGATATATTTTTGTAAAAGGAAGACATAGGCCAATGCCCGTTAGAATGCCCCTGTGAACCTGAAGTGCTGATATATTGCATATGGATTATTTGCCTATAAAATCTATTTCTATTCACTGAGGACAGAGTTGGGTTAGTCTGTGATATCTTCTCGCCCATGGGTGAAAAGGCTGTTGACAACAACTTGCAGTTTACAGCACCTTTCCTGCAGGATAGCATCTCAGAGACAGCATCACATTTCCACATGAAGAATGGTTAATGGGTGAGAGCTATAAACTATATAAATTATACAAATAATAAACAATACACAGGAACACACTGCCACCATCAATCAAGGCCTCATAACCATCACATAATTACCTTTGCCATATAATTTTGAAATGTTTTATTTACTGATACGTGTGGAATATTCTTTCATTCAGCCTTTCTATTTTTCCCCCAGCTCCACCTGACAAACCGAAAAATGTTTCCTGCATTGCATACTTTAGGAAGAATTTTACTTGTTTCTGGGATCGTGGGCGAGAAACGGACTTAGAAACGAATTTCACAGTAACTAAACAATTGTAAGTATCAGAAATCTCACTGTTTCAGAAAAAGATTACTTTGCATCAAAACAGTAAAAATACATTGTGGAGTCCTGTAGCTTATCGGTTAAAGCACTCACCTCGCAAGCGAGTGGACCTGGGTTCAATTCCTCGGCGAGGCGAAACCTTAGGCAAGTTTCCTTACTCCATACACCTCTGTTTAGCTAGCAGTAAGTAGGTTGTTATTCGATCGGTGATCGAATTTCTTTCTGGGATTAATAATCCATTAAAAAAAATTGGGTCATTCAATCAACGATTGTTTGTGGGACACTGCTATGGCAACTGGCTGCTACAACAACAACAACAACAAGATTCCATTTATAGAGCGCCTTTCACGTCGGGAGGACGTCCCAAGGCGCTGGGTTTCGCCCACAAATATACGGTCAATTCACTTCACAGTATGTTCTGCAAAGTGCTTTAAGACTTCTCAATGACGTGATAATGCTCTATATCACATTAGTTAATTAAATTAATTATAATTAAATTATATCACATAAGCAAGGATTATTATTATTATTGAATGCAAATCAATTTTGACTCCTGTCCTGACTTATTGTCTTGCTGGTTTGATGTACACGTATATGAAATACTATTTTCAATCCCATATATTATTTTATATAATGTTTATAATCCTTGCATTTGATATAGAGTCAAACCTGTCTTTAACAGCCACTCAGCAGATGGGGCCACAGTGGCCTTATATAAGAGTGGCCTTTGAATAAGAGATCATTGGAGTGTGTGCGTATGTAATGTGTGGCTGTTCCAGCGTGGTTGTAAACAGGGGCTGGTTGCTGAATGGATATGGTTGCTTGAACAGGTTTGATGATGGTTCACTATCATGTTGTTGAAGATTTCACAGGAATTACTGTTGAGTGAGTGTTTGTGTATTTATAGGTGAATGCAGCAGCCAACGAACACCAGAATGATCCACACACAGCCATGACTAATTTCTTTAGTCGTCTTTCCTTCATGGTTGTTTGTGTAATTAGCTGCTATATTCACCTACAAGTACCATCACATAATTTTTGTGAAACACTTTGAGACATCATAGATACTATAATAAAAACAAGGGTTGTTATAAACTCAACGTAAATGGTTGTTTCATTATTTTTCAGGAGTACGAGAAAACCTTACACCTGCAATACCTTGAAGAGTAATTCATGTTCTTTCATGTTTCCACATCTGTACAGTAAAGGACAACTCATGATCAGCGTAACAGCTCAGAATGCTTTGGGCAAAGCTCAGTCTGATCCATTGTACCTGGACGTTTCACATATTTGTAATTATAAATATTTTATACAAATAACTGTTAAATTAACCACACATTAGATGGTCTACTTCACAACTAATGTTAACAGCTTCAGATGTAATGGAGAAATGCCGGAAACAAATCATTTAGAATGTATCTTGTGTTGCATGACTAATATCCAGATACAGGATTTCCCCCTTATAAAGCACATGGGTTGAGTATGGATTTGCTTCGAGTGTGAGCGAACTGTGAACCCACACTGGCAGGAAGCATGGTACCTCTGGCTTCTGCCACTGGCTTCCCATGCTTTTTTTTAAAAAAGCCAACTTTTGGTTTATCAGGTCACACTGAGCTCACTTTCTGCTATGCACAGGAAGCACTTTCTGCATTCTGTGCACATGTGTTATGTGGTGGAAGTACCTCTGATGTCACTTTGCAAAAGAAGTGATGTCAGAGGCACTTCTTGCCCCAATGCACATGGGCAGGGAGTAGTAAGTGTTTTTTGCCAAAAGGTTGGCTTCTCATAAAATCATAGAATTATACAGCATAGAAAGAGGCCATTCGGCCCATCATGTCTGTGCCGGCTCTTTGAAAAGAGCTATCCAATTCATTCCCACTCCACCGCTCTCTCCCTATAGCCCTGCAAACTTGTCCTCCCCAAATAATTATCTATTTCTCTCTTAAACATTGTTATCGAATCAGCTTCCACCACTCTTTCAGGCAATTAATTCAAGATCTGAACAACTCGCTGTGTGAAACAATTTCTCGTCACCTCCCCTCTGCTTCTTTTAACAACTATTTTAAATAGTTAAATAGGTTGGCCATTTTTTTTCTTGCCTTATAAATGTGGGTTCTGACATATTGAACCCAGATGATAGCTAGCAATGTAAAGGTTGCCTTGTAACAGCACGAAATACATACAAAGAGGGTTTAACTTTTGCTGAAAATTCTATCTTTATGGCAATAAACATAACTGTAATGGATGGTTGAGGTTCTCGCAAAGCTTGATGAATATAAAACCTTCTTTATATAGTTTGGTTGCTATTTGAGGCCTTCCTCTCCTTCAGCTTGTGACTTGGCAGACTTGCCACTTAATGTAAATATTTATAAACAACAACAACAACAAAATGACATTTGTATAGCGCCTTTCACGTTGGGAGGACATCCCACGGCGCTGGACAGACAGAGTTACGGACCCGAGCTGAGGGTTGGGGTGGAGGAGGGTGGAGGATGGGGGGGAAGCAAGGAGATCGAAAGCACGGTCGAAGAGGAGGGTCTTGAGGTGGGTCTTGAAGGTGGCGAGGGAGGGGGCGAGGCAGAGAGACTGCGGGGTGGAGTTCCAGAGGGTGGGGGCAGAGTGGTGGAAGGTCCGCCCGCCGATAGTGGGGTGAGCAAGGCGGGGGACGTGAAGCAGGCCAGAGCCCACTGAGTGGAGGGAGCGAACAGGGTGGTAGGGGGTTAGGAGGTCAGAGAGGTAGGGGGGAGCAAGATCATGGAGGGCTTTGAAGCTGAGGACCAGGATCTTGAACTGTGTGATGGGAAGCCAGTGGAGTTGGGCAAGGATAGGGGTGATAGGGTCACGGAGCCTTGCGGAAGAGGACACGGGCTGCAGAGTTCTGGATGATCTGCAGCCTGTGGAGGGAGGAGTTGGGGAGGCCGACAAGCAATGAGTTCACATAGTTGAGCCTCGATGTAATGAAGGCGTGTATGAGGGTTTTGGCGGCCTGCGGTGTGAGACAGTGCCAGAGTCGGGCGACGTTGCGGAGGTGGGGGAAGGCAGAGTGAGTCATGGCACAGATGTGGGGTAGAAAGGATAGTTGAGGATCAAAAAAGGACCCAAGGTTCTGGACTGGCTTACCAAGATGGAGCGTGCAACCATGGATGGTGATGTTGTCAGTGCCTGAGGTGAGGAATTACATTATTCGGTCTTGTTGACATTCAACTGAAGCTCTCATCCAGGACTTGATGTCTGACAGACATTCTGTCAGCACAGCAGTGGTCCTGGAGTCAAGGGTGGAGGCAGAGAGATGCAGTTGGGTGTCATCCGCATACATGTGGAAGTTGACATCTATCATGTCTGCGGATGATGTCACCAAGAGGGAGCATATAGATATTGAAGAGGAGGGGACCAAGGACAGAGCCCTGAGAAACGGCTCATGAGATGGTCTTGGGACTAGAGGAGAAGCCATTTGAGGAGATGAGGTGCAGGCGGTGTGAGAGATACGATCCGAACCAATCAAGGACAGCGCCGTTGAGGTGGGAGGAGAGGCGGTGGATGAGGATAGAATGGTTGACAGTGTCGAAAGCAGCAGAGAGGTCAAAGAGGATGAGGAGGCAGAGGGACAGAATGTCATTTGTCACTTTGATCAGAGCTGTTTCTGTGCACGGAAACCCGATTGGAGAGGTTTGAGAAGGGAGTGGCGCGAAAGGAAGGAGAAGCTGAGAAGCAACAACTTGTTCCAGGACCTTGGAGAGGAAGGGGAGGTTGGAGATGGGGCAGTAGTTAGGGAGTAGAGAAGGGTCCAGGGAGAGTTTTTAAGGATAGGAGTGATGACAGCGGTTTTTGAAGGAGTGGGAACAGTACCAGAGAGCAGGGAGAGGTTTACGATGTTAGGGTAGGGATAGGATTAAGGGAGCAGGTGGTGGGTTTCATGCAGGTTATGGTGGTGGTGAGAGAGGAGAGGGAGACGGTTGAAAGGTGTGGAGGGAGGGGTGGGTAGGGGCTGGGGTGGGAGGAGGAGATGGGCAGGGGGTAGCAGTTGCAGTGGCAGAGGCAGTTGAGCGGATTCCCTCGACTTTGGATTTGAGGAAGTTCAGCATCGCCTCGCAGTTGGCATTTGAGGTGAGGATGGGTAGATGAGCTGGTTGGAGGATGGGGAAGAGGAGCCTGGGGTTATCCTTAGCCTCCAAGATTGTCTTGGAGTAGAACGATGATTTAGTGGAGGCGAGGGCGGAGCAGTAGGATTTGACATGTCCAGGCAGACAGATAGGTTTGATTTAAGCCAGGTACGCTCAGCGGAACGTGCCTGGGCTTTAAGGGAGCGGAGATGGCTGGTATACCAAAGTGATTTACGTGAGTAAAGATGCTCGGTGTCAGGATACGCTACTGTAAAGCCCTCCAAGACCCTTCCCTTCATGAAGGAAACACTATCATGCAGGCTGTTGTTTTAATAATAGTAATCCTTGCATTTCATATAACACCTTTTGCATCAGGAGGATATCTCAAAGTGGGTCACAGAATATACTGTAAAGTGTAGTGACTGTGAATTTGTAGATGAACGTCTGCACCTCTATTCATGGCTGACTAAACTGTGGGATGAGGGTTGACCAGTCAATTCTGTGTTATTCCCTTTTCTTCTTTTCATGCTCTCCAGTAAAAGAAGGCAAAGTGATATTCTATGAGGCAGAGCTGTGTTATCTTCCATAAAGCTGAAAGTCCACCTATAACATAGAATTATGTATTAGGTCTATTGTGGGTATGATATTTAATTGTCTTCCCATGAGAAAGTGCCTGTATGTTAGTTGATTGATGATTGGTATCTTCTTTATTCTAGTGAAACCTGCATCTCCGAAGAATGTAGCTGTTCAACCTTGTAAGGATCAAAAGAGATGCTTGTTGATAACATGGCAGACACCTAGAAGTTCAACGCCAGTTAATTTTCCTCTCAAATATAACATTAAATATCGAATGGTTGATACAGAATCCTGGACTCAGGTATGCTAGAATATGAATCAATTTCAAACTGAACTGTTAAAGTATGCTTGGGTTCATTGAAGTGCAGTTCACACAAAAATATCCCCCAATCTTATGCCTGTCTAGGTCGATGTTAAAGATCCCATGGCACTGTTTGAAAAGAGAAGATGAGTTTCTCCCAATGTCCTGGCTGATAATCCCCTAAATAAAATTGGTCACTTATTCCAGGCCTGCTGCGTTTACCCACAAATACACAGCCACTCAATTTCACAGTAAATCCTGCGAAGCGCTTTGAGAAGTCCTAGTAACATAGGAACATAGGAATTAGGAGCAGGAGTAGGCCATTCGGCCCCTCGAACCTGCCCCGCCATTCACTAAGATCATGGCTGATCTTCTAACTTAACTCCATCTGCCCGCCTTCTCCCCATATCCCTTAATCCCTTTATCCTTTAGAAATCTATCAATCTCAGTCTTGAATATGTTCCAGGTCTGAGCATCTACAGCCTTATGGGGTAGAGCATTTCATAAATTCACTACCCTCTGAGTGAAGAAATGTTTCCTCAACTCTGGTTGAAAGGACTGATCCTTAATCTTAAAACTGTGACCCCTAATTCGAGATTCTCCTACCAGGGGAAATAGTCTCACACTGTCTTCTCTGTCAAGCCCCATGAGAATCTTATATGTTTCTGTAAGATCACCCTTAATTCTTCCATATTCTAGAGAATATTGGCCTAGTTTACTCAACCTATCCTCACAGGTCAACCCCCTCATCCCATGAACTAACCTAGTGAATCTACACTGCACCCCCTCTAAGGCGAGCATATCCTTTGTTAAATAAGGAGACCAAAACTGCACACAATATTCTAGGTGCGGTCTCACCAAGGCCCTATACCGCTGTAGCAAGACTTCCCTACTCTTGTATTCTAACCCTTTTGCAATAAAAGCCAACATGGCATTAGCCTTCCTAGTTGCTTGCTGTACCTGTATACTAACTTTTTGTGACTGGTGTACAAGGACACCCAAATCCCTCTGAACACTAACATTATCTGGTCTCTCCCCCTTTAGAAAATAATCTGCTTTTCTGTTTTTACTACCTAGGGGAATAACTTCACACTTCCCCACATTATATTCCATCTGCCACCTTCTTGCCCACTCACCTAGCCTATATATATCCCTTTGCAATCTTTTTGTGTCATCCTCAGAGCTTACGCTCTCACCTAGCTTAGTATCATCCGCAAATTTAGATATTTTAAGTTCTATGCCTTCTTCCAGATCATTGATATAGATTGTAAATAGTTGAGGCCCAAGCACTGATCCTTGTGGCACTCCACTAGTCACATCCTGCCAATCTGAGAAGGACCTGTTTATCCTTACTCTCTGTTTTCTTCCCGTTAGCCACTCTTCGATCCATGCTATTATATTGCCGTTAATTCCATGTGCCCTAATCTTGTGTAGCTACTACTATTACTTACTACTACTACTACTAGTCCTAGTGATAGTAGTAGTAAGTAGTATTGGTAGTATTAACACATCCATTGGGTAATTGTCAATTCATCCGAAGGATTGTTAGTCAGGGGAGAAACACCTTTCCTTTTTAAATTATGTGATGGAAACTTTAACATTCACCTGAGGACAGGCAGAAGGGACCTCAGCTTAATGTCTTATTCTGAAGGACAGAACCTTTGGCAATCCAGCTTGTCCTCAATACTGCACTAGATTGTCAGCCTATACTGTGAGCTCAAGTACTCATATGGAGCTTAAAATCCCCCCTCCACTCCACCAATCTTCTGGTTCAGAAGGGAGAGTGCTGCCAACTGAGCCACGTTGCATCTATTTTGTTGTATTCATGAAAGCGGGAACTTTAAGCATGAGAGTAAAATTTAACAGAATCAGCTCTTTAGCTTTGATCTTAAAAAGACTGTAACTATTATTATGGAACAGTAAACAGAGCAAATTATTCTACAATGGTTTGATGTTGAGGCAACAATGGATAAGAAGATGTACATTAGGGATCGTACCACAAGGGGGAGGTAGCCGTAAGCATGGTCGAAGAGGAAAGACTTGAAAAAGGGGAGAGATGGGGCAAGGGGGGGATTGAGGGAGAGTGTTCCAGAGTTTCGGGGTGCAGTGGCTGAATGCACGACTTCCAATGGTCAAGCGGAGGGTGTGAGGGACGAGCAGGAGCAGGCCGGTGCCAGTCGAGCGGAGGCGCCAGGTGGTGGATTGGGGAGTGAGGAGGTTGGCGAGGTAGAGGGGTGCCAGGGAGTGAATGGATTGAACACGAGTGTGAGGATCTTGAAGTCGATCCGTTTGGTGATGGGGAGCCAGTGGAGCCTGGCCAGAGCTGGTGAGATGTGGGTACAGAGTTTAGTCTGGGTCAGTATGTGGGCAGCAGAGTTCTGATTGAGCTGGATCTTATGATTGATGGAGCTGAGGAGCCCGGCGAGGAGTGCGTTGGAGTAATCCAGGTGGGAGATTTCAGCTGCATTTGGGGTAAGGTCTGAGGCGGGGAATGTAGCGGAGGTGGAAGAAGGCGGTCCTGATTACGGACCGAAAGTGGGGGGAGGAAGGACAGCTGGGGGTCGAACTCACTGGTTCGGTGAGGTTGAGGGGTTTAGATCTGCAGGCGTGAAGACATTGATGGGAACCAGAGTATGGCTTCTGTCTTCTCCACATTCAGCTGCAGGAAGTTTACACTCATCCAGGCCCCAATGTCTGCCAGGCAAGCTGATAGAACAATGGTGGACCTGAAATTAGTACTGGAGGAGGCAAAGTAGATTTGTGCGTCATCTGCAAACATGTGGAATTTTATCCCGTGTGTATAACAACAAATCAATTACTGTTTCAATCATAACGTGGAAACCAATTGTAAAAGCAGTTATATTACAAATGTCGCTGTCAAGTTGCTATTGATAATTATTTGTATAATGTGCAGTAATGATACATACCATTACATTTCTTTTAGGTAGCAGTAGATGGAAATTCATCAGGGACTTCATTAATGCTTAAGAATCTCAAACCCTTGAGCAACTATACAGTTACTGTCCGCTGCATTGGCAGTAAAAGACAATTCTACTGGAGTGAGTGGAGTTCAGAGGAAACGGGAACAGCTTCTGGAGCCAGTACGTACTGAGACTTTCAACAATGTATAAATTCACAGAATGTTTACAGGAGGACGGTTCTTGTGCGTCCTGCAATTTGTGGAGTCCTGTGGTATTGGTTAGAGCACTTGCCTCATAAGGGAGAGGACCTGGGTTTGATTCCCAGATAGGGTGAAATGTTAGGCAAGTTTCCTTACTCCACATGCTATTTACCTAGCAGAAAGTAGGAATCCGTTGTTATTTGATTGTCGGAATAATTTTCTGGGGTTAATAATTCCTTCAAAAAAAAATAATTGGGGCTCTCAATCCACGACTGTTTGTGGGACACCATTGTACGCAATTGGCTGCTACGTTTCGTCCACAAAATACACAGTGAATTCACTTTATAGTATATTCTGTGAAGCACTTTGAGACATCTTGAAGATGTGATCAGGCGCTATATCAAATGCAAGGATTATTATTATGGAAGCTTCAAGATCATAGCTGGAATTTGCAAACAATGGTACAGGAAAATAATTTGTGCATATTGGCAATATTGCCAATAACCAGGCTTGGCTGACCAAACTTTCTACTGCTATAACTGCATTTTTCTATCTGACACTATATCTTGATGGTTCTCCTTCTCATGTACAATATAAAGCCATTGCATGCACTTGTGTGCATGCCATGGCTTTATATTATACAGGAAACATTTTTCTCTCTTCTGCACTAAACCTTTCCCTAATTTCCATTCTTCCCTTTTGCTCGCCCTCTTTAGCTCTGTGCATACTAAACTGAAGACTTCAGTCTTTCCATTTGAGATGGAATCTGTAATATGATTACACATTAACATCATAACCCCAACAAAATCTTGGCAAAGGGGCTGAGTGTATCCAAGAAAAAGGTGAGTGGTTGTGAATTTGCCAATGAACCATGCCTTATCTTAAGAATATCCTTCACCATTTCTATGTTTCACATGAAATGTAACAGTTTAATGCTCCGAGAAGCTACCCTACATGATGGGCACCATAAATGCAAGTTGTTGTTCTAAGATTTTGAATTAAAAATGTTTTTTTCTTCCCCTCTGTATATTTACAAAACGTTATCAAAAATTGATGACAGGTAAGCAGATTCCAAATTCAAGCTGGAAAACAGTCACACTTTTAATACTTTCTGATAAACAGATAAAACCTTGATTTATCAGTTCTAAGTATCTACAATAGGTTAGCACCCTTCCTCATTTGCAAACGATTTAGTAAAGGAAAGGATGCTAAAAGGTATATTCAAGAGAATTTTTGGTGTTTCCTGTCCTCTTTACCTCTTTCCTTCTGTTTTTAGACCCATCAAAAGGCCCAGATATTTGGAGACAAATTCAGGATTCCTCTTCTCAGGGAAAACGAAATGTGCATCTATTGTTGAAGGTAATTTGCCTCCAGTGTTGAAAGTACAAAATGTTAAGTACCTTCTTTTGACAGTTAGCTTGACATGCTTCAGCAAATTTGGACAATTGTAAATTTTGCACACATTTGAGAATATTTGAGCTACAGGACTCCACACATTTGTGGAGTCCTGTAGCTCAGTGGTTAGAGCACTCGCTTTGCAAGTGAGAGACCTGAGTTCAATTCCAGGCAGAGGGCGAAACCTTGGGCAAGTTTCCTTACTCCACACGCCTAATAATAATCCCTCCAAAAACCAAAACAATAATTAAATTGGTCATTTTCAATCTACGACTGTTTGTGGGACATTGCTGTGCGTAATTGGCTGCCGCGTTCGCCCACAAATATACAGTCAATTCACTTTACAGTGTGTTCTGTGAAGCGCTTTGGGACATCCTCCCGACGTGAAAAGCGCTATATCAAATGCAAGGATTATTATTATTATTATAATAAGAAGCATTCGGCTTCTTTGTAAGGTGTGTGGCAGCCTGGCTCAGCGGTAGCATTTTCGCCTCTTGAGTCAGAGGTTTGTGGGTTCAAGGCCCACATCAGGATTTGGACCTTATATAGTCTAACCTGACACTCCAATGCAGTGCTGGGGTGTGCTGCATTGTTGGGGTGCCTGTCTTCAGATGAGATATTAAACCAGTTCCCATCTCCCTGTTTAAGTGGATTTTAAAGATCCCAAAAAAAACATTCAAAAAGAGAAGGGAGTTTGTCATGGTGTCCCAACCAGCAATCCTCCAAATAAAATTGGTCACTCATTCCATGGCTATTTGTGAAACATGGTTGTGTGCAAATTTAGCTGCCGCGTTTGTCCACAAAGTGCACGCACACAACACTTCACACATTACATAGTATGTCCTGAAGTGATTTGGGACACCATCCCGACATGAAAGGCACTAACCAAATGTATGGGTTATTATAATTATGATGTTTTCTCCCTTCTGAATGCATATCACATCACCTACCATTTTCTATGTAAGGTCAGTAGATGCTCTTGAAGCTCTGCTAACACCCGCCAGTGTGATGATACAGCTCAGTTTAGACTTTAATGTTTACCTCTTGCTTACTGGAGAATTGCCTCACATTTATTTGATGGTGGTATCATAATCATTTTAGTTCTTGATTTTGATATAGCATTTATAATGTCAAAAATTTTGAATCTGAGAACTCCTACAAATTAAATGCAAAGGACAACCTGCACCCTAACGCTGCATGGCACTAATACAACAAAACACTGGACGTGTTTGCATTCCCATTCCCCACTTTTTAGTTCCACGTTAAAGAGTGTTGTGTTTTCAAAAGAGCTTTTGCTGTCTTCTCCTGAATGTTTTAACGCAGACAATTGCTCAGTACAATTCCAGTCACCCTAATTGGGGACACATTGTTCATCTTGACTTTCCAGTAGCTTTTATTACTTCAAGGCTTGTTTGTTTTAAACATAGAAAATAATAAAAATTGTGTTTTCAATGTGACCGCTATTATGATGCAGGCACTGGACAAGTCCGAAGCTAATGGAATCATTCTAGGATACAAAATATGGATTGAGAAACAAAACGGGGAACCAGTGATTCAAGAAGATTACAACACCTCCTTGAATTATTCTTTCCTTCTGACCCATGAAGTCCATATTATAACAGTGATTGCTTACAACTCAGCTGGTGACTCTCCTAATTCAACCTTGATAATTCCAGCGGTCAACCAAACAGGTATGTCTCACTGTGACAAAGATGTCAACTAGAAATGTTTAATAAGATAAGTTTCAGTATCTTTAATCTGCCCTTTTATAAATGTTGAACCTTTCACTGTCAACTCAGTTCCTCCTGCTGTTGTGTTATTAATTTTGTTTAGGACAATGGTTGACTGTTCAACTAAATCCAATTTAAATTGTGATGTTTGGTGAGACTCAGTAACAGAGGGAGTCAGAGACAACACAAATCAATGTTAAACATTTATTCTTTCTTTATATATTTCTCAAGCATGGATGCACATTACGTATCAACTTCTATACTAAACTTCGTAAATATGAAACATATACGATCCGTCTCTTCTCAATATCTTCCTAGGAGAAGGTGAAACGCCAGGCGCACAGGTTCTGCCGGTCTATGCACAAGTGCCTATTCCTAGCTTACCTTTATACCCTTGTTATTTACTATTTTTAACTACATGTCCTTAGCCATACATTGTGTTTCCTTATATGGCAATGCACAAACACAGGTTACCGATTTTGCCATCTAGATTTTCCAGCGTAACTATTTTAAACTTTGTTAAAGTTTGCAACAACTCAATCACAAAGTTTCACTATCATGACATAGGTTTAGTTCTTTGTCTGAGTCTAGTTAGTACAAATATGATTAACCTTTAACACCCCAGGGCCTTTGATTATAATTGAAGAAATACAATCCAGCATAATCACATATTCTTATAATATTCTCATAACACTCCCACTGGCCAGTTTACCCCTTGCTATCTCCCCAGCAAACTGTGCTTTGCTCAACATCGCAAGCTGAGATGATAGATGGTTAACTATTGACTTCTTCAGAGCCTTCATCATTGCTGCTCTGAGCTCAATGAGCATTGTTTTTTTTAAGATGCAACGTGTGGAGTAGAAGTTCCATTCGATGTATACTGCCATCATGAGTACCCGACACTTTGTGCTGTTCCTTGCAGCTGATTGGATAAAGCTCAAATCTAAAATAAGATTTTAATCCAGAATTCACAGTCCATGGTTCAGTGCCCTAATATAGTATATCACAAAACCACTGGCACAGTATTATCCATACCACAGTAACATCATCTCAGTAACGTTGGCTTTGAGGATGCAGCCATCAATGGAACTAACCAGAAGGTGCAGTCAGAAAAGACCATCCTATTCTGTTTAGTCAAATATAAATTCAGAAACAGGAACTGGAATCACTTGTATACTATGCTCAACAACTCATGTAAATACTAAGGCAAAAATATAAAGCTTTGCATTGATTAAATAAACAGGGTTACAATAGACAATATTTTGCTTTTAGGCGCACTTAGAGTACGTCATTATGAATTATTTATTGTTAATAAAAGATGTGTGTGCTTTCTCTTTGAATAAGATCCTCCACCTGTCCAGCATGTCCGAATTATACCTCAGAATGATCAGTTCCTGTTAGAGTGGAAGAACCCAAAACGGCCCGGTAATGGATTTGTGATTGAATGGTGTTTGGCTCTGGATACAAAACTGTGTTCTGGAATGCTACATTGGCAACATGAGCGTAACTCATCTGAGACAGCTTTCATACAGAGTGAGTAATTATTCCAGAGAACGTGCTTTATTCTGAACATTAAAGAAATACTCTCTGTGTATACAATATTTACTACAGGGGTCTGAAGTTTCTCACGTTTTGGGATTAAGATTACTCTCGTAAAATATAAGACAGGTTGGAAGACAGTCTTAGTTTTGAAACTGATCTCTGCACTACTGAAAAAGATTGGATTTCAAATAAAGGCCCAATTTAGCACCATTTGATCTTAAATTTGAGGACAATATTCTTAAACCTAAGAATTTTAGATTATAAGGATTTTGTTTTGCCATATGCACTGATCATAAAAATAGAGAAGTAACTTATAGGAGTAATTAATTGTATGTAAAATATCTAAAATCCCTGCTCGTAGATATTCTTTATCACTTAACATTTCAGTGTTTTATATCCTCTTTGTACCTTCTTAGTTGTAGAGAAAGACAAAGGGTGAAGTAAACACACAGCTGATAGCTGTCATCATATTCTGATAGAGCAAGTCTTCTGGGTGATCTTGACTCAGTCACTCTGCAGCAAGATAGAGAAAGAGACATATTTTTAATTCTAATGCTTAGCCTTTACCAAACAGCAAAAATAATAAATGTTTGTGCTTAGTGGGATTTAAAGTTGAGTTCCTAAATAAAAGTCTTTGCTGGTTATGATTAGTGTAGTCAACAAGTCCCCAGAAAAACACATCATCTTTCACATCATGGTTGTTTGAAGGACAATGCTGTTGCAAATTAGCTATCACATTCACTGACAAAATATGCAGTCACTACATCTTGCACTAAATCATGTGAAGTGCTTTGGCATATCCTCTTTATGTGACAGATAGTATACCAAATGCAAGGATTATTATTTCTAGACAACAGTCACAACAGTTTTAAAATAATGTTATTGTGAGGGAGTTTGTGATGCTTTAATGTGATAGGGCAAACGCTCGGACTTTATTATGGATGCTCCGCTATTATAACTAGCAATGTTTGGGTCAATGGTCAATAAGCTGGTGGCATTGCACTGTGTACATTCAAAATATTACATGGTTAGGATCAGAAACTGTTTTAATAGGAAGCCTTTATTTTGATTCCAGATGGAAAGTAAAGAACATTGGAGAACATTGAAGAACTTCTTTGCTTCATCTAATAAAGTTTTTTAATTTTCCCACAGGAGATATAATGCCCTTCAAATGTTATATTATCACTTTATTTGCGCTGTATGATGAAGGTCCTGGACGTCTATTTTCAGGATTGGCATACCTAGAACAAAAACGTAAGTAGAGTTCCTCCAAACCTTTAAAGTAGAAAGATGAACCTTTTTCAATGATTCACAACAACAGCAGCACAGTGCACTTATAAAAAGGTTTCCACATAGCCCTCAATCAGCTTATTCAGTGAATATCATATTCATATACTGTATCTGTTTCATACCAGCCAGAATGATCACAGGCTCTATCACTGGTCTGTGTAGAGTTAGCTAAACTAAGCTGTGGCATCACTGAGATAACTATTATTGGGACAGGGAAGATGGGGTTGGGGTGGGTGGGGAATAAGGCCCTAGATTTGGCTTCAGAGTTAGGCATCACAAATCAGACAGGATTCCTGCTTCTGATCAGAATTCCCTGTGTGTGTATAGTATAGAAGTGCTTTGATACATCTCATTGACATGATCAGGCAATCAAATGCAAAATTATCAGCAGCATCAGCCTGCCAGCACTCCTAAAACTGTCATTCCAGTGAGGTCTACATGGACCCCAGTGCTCATACTGCAGTGGAAAGAAAAAAGAGTCAGACTCCAGATGAGTGGGAGGATAAGAAAACAATACTTGGAAGAGAAAATTGATCAGCAGGGGAATAGAAAGGGACTTTCCAACAACAAGAAGTTGCATTCCATAGATTCTTGCAGTTTAAAGAGCTTGTGAGGCTGAATGTCCATACAACAACAACAACTTTCATTTATGTAGCACCTTTCATGTGGGGAGCATCCTGGAACACTTGGATTGCAGTGACAAGGAAAAATCACTTGACTAATACTGATCAAATTGTGTCACTTTGGGTTTGTTGAAATATTGACTATCACCTCAGGATACATTGGTATATTTCAAACAGCAATTGAATGTTCCATAGTTATACGGTTAAAAGTAGCTTCATTCCCAGCCAGGAGGGCGTGTATCCCGAGTCATTGTGATCAGTTGATCAAACTGGGAGTCTATAGGGTAAACTGCACAAAGATAACTTGGACAAAGTTAACATTGGTCGGAGCATAGGTTTAAATTAGCAAACTAACCTGGTTGGAGAAAAATTGTTTTCAGTTCTGTGTGTGTGTTAGGTAAATTATTGCTGTTTTACCGTTCTGTCTGTTGCCTAGTTTATCTATATAAGGGTTACAGTGTAGCTGATTTGTCTTATTTCAGTAATGCTCAAATCCAGCAGGCAAGGATAGAGGGAACACCCATTGAAATTATATTTCAAATTTCTGTGGCCATACTGTTTGTTACTCATGATATTATCATTAATGATGTGCTGTAATTAGAGATTCTAATAATATTTGAAGGGATTGATGTGGTGGCTGAGGTAAAAGGGAATCGTGAAGATGCTGATGGTGATAGTGGGCCTGTGCTGCCTACTTGACCCACTCGAGGTGGGGACTGGATATTTTGCAAACCCAGATTTCTGGTTTGTCTTAAGTTGAACCAAAAAGAATATCGCAAAGACTCAGGAACTTGTTTGCTGAAATAGAACTGATTCTGCGTATCACAAAGACATTGGTAATATCAGTATATTAAACTGCAAAGAACAAAAGGAGTGTACCGAATTTGAAGGATATGTGTTTAACCCTACAATGAATGGTAAAAACAAACAGTTGAAGGTCTCATTGCCCACTTGGCGTACATGACTAAAAAGGTCTAAATTTGGGAATGAAGAAGACAAGTCTAACCGATCTTAAGAAGAGATATTCTCCAATCAACATTGATTGAACCATGTTAACAAGTCGATTCCTAATGACAGCCGCTGTATCAATCTGATTAATTAATTGGACTGATTATATCTTATTACTCATGTCTTATGCTTTTGTGATTGCCCAAGCCATCACTTTATTTACATTGATTGTGTCTTGATGTTATTTGCGCTCTTATTAAGGGCTACCAGGGTGCAATCTGACCATTTACAGTTAGCTATCTTAATAAATCATAGATAAATGAGAGATCGAAAATCTTATTTTCCCACTCTCAAGGTGGGGACTGTTGAAATATTTTGACTATCACATGAAGATATATTGGTATGTTTCAAAAAGCAACTGAATGTTCCAGAAGGTTTGATAATTAAATGGTTAAAAGTAGCTTTGCTGGACGGGCTGAGGTTAGCTTCTGAGTACATTTCAAATTTTCCTGGGAAGATGTTCACTCCTCTGAGATAATGAGCAATCGGGTCCTTGAGTATAGTTGTAAGAGCAATGGACCACAGAAAGAAATGTCTGCAGCCTCAGACACCTGCCCATCTCAAGGCTGCCCAGATGTTGTCCATATCTCTCTCTCTGTAAATCAGCCTGCGAAGGGTGGGGGCTATCTCTGTGACAAGGGGAGTTGGAGTTGAAACACATAGAAGAATGATGTAACTTTGAAATAGCTGGAGTTGTATAGAAGGTCAGCACACTTCCTAGTGGAATCGATATCGATTCTACTGTATCAATATATATGAACAGGGGTGAGGGAATTGCAGATTGTTAAACCTTATGTTTCATCTAATGCAATAAACTATATACTCTTACCCAGCGCTTGTTGAATTATTAACAGGTTCAATTGAAAGCTATAGTGGAAAATCCAGGCTACTTACAATTTTATCCTGTTCATATAATAATAATAATCCTTGCATTTGATATAGAGCCTTATCACATCTTTGAGATGTCTCAAAGCGCTTCACAGAATATACTGTAAAGTGAATTGACTGTATATTTTGTGGGCAAAATTTCCTTCTTTCCTAAACAACCTAACATATCGGGTTAGGATTAGGGTTAGATTGGTAATTTGTTTTTTTTGCTGAATGAAAAAAAACTTTAAGAATCCCAAAACATTTTTTCCTGTTAATTTGTTATTTGAACTGCAGTGATCTTGTTCTGAAAATCATGATCAAAACAAGCTTCAAGTGTTACACCATACACTAGATACATTCTTATTTACTGTATACCTGAAAAACTCACCTTATCCTAACAAAAAGATATAATATCAAAAACATACAATAGTGTGATATATGGAGTCCTGTAGCTTTGCAAGCGAGAGACCTGGATTTGATTCCCAGCAGGGAGAAACCTTGGGCAAGTTTCCTTACTCCACATGCCTGACAATAATCGCACAAGAAAAAAAAAAATAATAAATTGGTCACTTCAAACCATGTCTGTTTGTGGAACACTGTTGTGCGCAATTGGCTGCTGCATTTTGCCCACAGAAAATACTGTCAATTCACTTTACAGTCTATTCTGTGAAGCGCTTTGAGACATCTAGAACACGTAAAAAGTGCTATATCAAATGCAAGGATTATTATTATTATTATTATTATTATTATTATTATTATTATTATTATTATTATATCATCCTGTGGCATACTTTAATATTATCTATAAAACAAAATTTAAAGGAAACATTCACTTCAGTATCTAGATGAAGTTAATAATGTCTTAATTCATGAATACTTGTGTGTATGTATGTGTATGCGTTTGTTCTAAGGATTCAGCAATCCATCAAGGAGCTGTTGATATTTGTTCAATTAACTTTTACCAGGGTTTAATGACTTGCAGTGTGCAGCAATTCTCAGAATTGTCAGTCGAGCACTCTTGCATTAATGTTTGTCTGTGTGTACCTGTGAATTAATAGTGTGGAAATTAGTGTATTAAGAAATATCATTTCAGTGAGGAGCAATTTCCACTGCTAATCATTTTCCACTGTTAAATGATCTGTTTTACCACCTCACTCTGCGCTGCTAAGTAATTGATCTATGACACTGATACAATAGTTATTCTGAAAAACTAGCATGTTTGAAAAAAATAATTTGAGGTAAAATTCAACAACAGTAATTCATATGGGCTAGAGTTTCAGAGCATTTCATCCAACTTGGTCTAGATTTACTCTGTTTAAGTATAATATCAGATAATAATAATTCTTACATAACAAGCTTAATTTTGAAGCTGCATTTCTGTAAATTCTGTTGAAGCTGCGTTTCTTCTAAAAACTACAGATCTTTTAAGATCTACATAAAACTAGCCTCAAAGTTAAGACTGAATTCAACAATTTTTCCAAATTCTGAATGCTCTAAAATGCTACATAAATAGTCATTCTCCACCCAGGGGAAATTTTAGACCCCTCCCCCGCATGTTAATGGTCTCCATACAATAACAATACAAATTATCTTCAGCACATTAAACTAGAACTTTTGTTTCAGCTCCAAAGGAAGGTCCACATGTTCGCTTTCAGAATGTGAAGGCAAAAGAAGCTACAATCAAGTGGGATGAAATCCCATTGGACAGTCAGTTTGGATTCATCACCAATTACACCATCTTTTACAAATCCAATAACAGTGAAAACTGTAAGTTATTGTTAAGCACCATATCATTGCATCCAGTTAATGAGAGGGCATGTGTTTTGTGATGGATTAATAAAACTAATATGAGGTGACAGATGTGTGTCAGTGCTGTGACTGACTACAGATGCTAGTGTTCTTAGTACTCACATGGAGTGTGCATCACAGGGAGATAGTTGAGCAGTACCTTCCATAGGAATATCCTGCTCAGTGTTACTGAAACAAATTTGTTGCAGATTACATTGATCCATATATCATTTGCCAAAATGAAAGGAGCCACTGGTAACACAGAATTAAATCCCCAATGGAGTGCTGGTTTGTCTAAGGCAGTGGTGGCCCACAGTTTTGATCAAAATAAATAAACAAAATAAATTGTCTTAATTGAATATTTATACCAAAAATCAAGAAATATCCAATCAAGAAAAAAACTAGAAACAAAACATTGAACTCAATCCGACTAACGTAGACTAGTGCAAATGTTTGGCGGGCTATTTCTTAATGGCCCCATGGGCCACTTCCGGCCCGTGGGCCATGTGTTGGTCACCACTGGACTAAGGTAAACATTGAAGATCTCGTGACAGTATTCAAACAGAGAAGCAAATTTCTCTCGATGTATAGGACATTTGGTCATTCACTTTATGTTTTTATGAGGCACTTCTATATGCATATGGGATGCTATTATTATTATTATTGTTATCATCATTATTATATTAAAATGTTTTTCCCTCTCCTGCGGCCCTGACATTTGCTGAGGTTATTTCCACAGTCACCTCCACTACCTCACCTAAGTGTCCATTTCAGTGTCTGAAGCTTATAAATTGGGGTTAAAAAGCAGAGTGACTAGCAAATCTGTTTCCTCTCTTTCTAAATGCAATTCTACTGCCTTCCAGCTGTAACAGTGAACTCAAGTTTTCGGGAATATACTCTGAGATCTCTGCAGAAAAATACTATGTACACAGTGCTCGTAATGGCATCTACAGTGAAGGGTGGCAAAAACAGCTCAACAATATTCTTCAATACAATTTTGTTCGGTAAGTAAAACTGTAGATATTAATATCTCAACAGTTATTTCTCAATAAGCTACACTGCATTCATCCAGTTGTACACGTGACAATAAAACTACTCTGATAAGAGGGAGAATTTTATTACTGTGGTACTTGTCTTCAATGCATTTTTCTGTTCCACATACCAAGCTTGACAGGGCAATATATACACTGGATTGTGTTGTACCAACATATTTGCGCAGAGGTGCACCGGGATACAGGCTCAATGTACATTTGCCCACAAGTGATGTTCTAGTTTTTGCCTTGTGCCATGGAGCTAGGCTGTGCTTCTCTGTGGAGAGAGAGGGAAAATTAGGAATGGGAGATATCCTGGACTCTTGAAAACCATTGAAAGCAGCAGTTGCGGAGTGTGCTTAACCTCATGGCTAGGGAGTCATTGTGGTTGAAAAAGTTATCATTGGGGAAATGGAAGCATAAAATACTCCTTGAGTGGAAAAAAGCATCTGAGATATGTTATTCTGGTCTCATGAGAACTGACCTTGGGCAAGATTGAAAGGGGAAAGAGGATGTATGTAATACAGCTTTTATAATGTTTAAAAAAAGGCCACCTACATGTATGCACAAGCACGGCTAGATTATTCTGATGGCATTGATACAAAGCAGCTTAATAAGCCAGCAAGACCATAGTTAGAGCATTTAAAGTTGGACAAAATGCCTAATAACGAGATATTGTTTTGACATTGACCTAATGAATCCTCAGAAAAGCTGAATGTTAATATTCCCATTAAAGGTTTATGCTGGATTTCTTCAAATAACTAACCAGTGGATCATTTTATTTGCAGAGATACAAGATATCGTGGCTATCGTTGTGCCTCTTTTCTGCATCATAATAATATTTATTTTACTAATTGGTTGCTATAAGAAATCGTGAGTATGATTTAATTTTAAGCATACCGTTAGCAGTTTATGTAATTTAACTGTTCAGATAAAATACTCAATGCATAGAGATAACTTGATAATTGACCTTTTCTGGTAGTCTACTAGTACTATTACTGCCTGTCACAAGTAATAGGAGTGCTGTAGTTCAGTGGTTAGAGCACTCGTCTCGCAAGCGAGAGACTTGGGTTCGATTCCCAGCAGGGTGAAACCTTGGGCAAGTTTCCTTACTCCACGCACCTGATAATAATCCCTCAAGAAAAAAAACAATAATAATTTGGTCACTCAATCCAGGACTGTTTGTGGGATACTGCTGTGTCCAATTGGCTGCCAATTTCGCCCACAAAATATACAGTCAATTCACTTTACAGTATATTGTGTGAAGCGCTTTGGGACGTTTAGAAGACGTGAAAAGCGCTATATCAAATGCAAGGATTATATTATTATAATAACTCATGTATTCCCATCAAAAGGAGGCACCAACAGCAACAACTTCTTGCATGTATATGGTGCCCTTTACTTGGGGTAGTGTCTCAGGAGCTAGAAAATAAATGTGATGGGGGTATTCACAGACTTCTTTTAGAAGGTTATGCACTATTTTCCAATTGAAAATCCCCCAAAACCTAGGTCCGGGTGTTTTACGCATTATAATTGCATATACTAAAGTCAGTACATTTTGTTGATGGGGGGAAATCACCTTCTAATGTTATCTTTAAATCATTGAAGTAATCTTAAGTTTGTTTCACAGTTGCTTTCAATTCCGTAACAATCTATCTGATTGAGTGTGAAAAATTTGGGATTTTCCNAAAAAATACTTTGCTTGACATGTTCCACCAGGAGTTTGATCTGGGAGGACAACAAACCCAGAGGATAATAGTTACAGCCCTCTGTAGCAACTTTAGTTGTCCGTTTGGCTCATTACATCTCCGAGTCAAAAGGTTGTGGGATCAAACCCCACGCTGGGACTTGAGATCACAGTCTAGGTTAATAGGCTTCAAACTTCAGTGAAATAATGCGGGAATCATGTAATTTGTTGGAGAAGCGTTCCTTTTGAATGAGACATTAAACTAAATTCTCATCTCTTATTCTGATGGATGTTAAAGATCTCATGACATTATTAAAAAAAAGCTAGTTTTGCTGTGTCCCGGCCAAACATCTTCTAGATTAATTGGTTCCGAGCGGATTCACTCAGCTGCCTCTGTCTACCAGCACCCCTCCCCCAACCTCTACTTCCAACATCCTCCCTCCTTCCACATCTTTGGACGTATCTTCCTCTCATCCCTCATTTACGTTGGGAAACCCACCACCTGCTCCCTTGATCCCATTCCCACACCTCTGCTGTACACCCAGCTTCCCCTGCCCGCCCCCGATAACCAACATCAGGGGGTCATCACCACCCCTTAAGTATCCCTCAGTGGACTCCTCCGTGCTCGCCAGTTACTGCTCTATTTCCATTGTGAGTGGCTGAGATATTCCATTTGATTTTCCAATCACCCCATTCTATTTGAGAGTAAATTCTATGGAGCATTTGATTCCCTGAATTAAAGTTTAATGCTCCATTTCATTGGAGTTCTTTCATTCTCTCATTCTGCCCCACAGAAACATATATAACCACTTACATGTAAATAGTGACAATCGCAGAAAAGAAATGTCTTGAAGCACTTTATAGAATAAGATTAAATTAGAAATGAACTAACTGCTAAATACAGCTGCAAATTTGCACCAATGACATCATAGAAACAGCAAAGAGATGAGTCATCAATTAATTCCACATTTTTGGGAGATTATTTCGATGTGGACGGTTTAAATGCCAAGATAAATGAGGTAAAAGTTTATGAAATGTCCACACTCTCTATGATTATTGTATTTATGATTAAATATCAATCTCCCATGATCCTGTCAGGATTGTGAAGGTCATCTGGCCTAATGTCCCAGACCCCGCAGAGAGCAGTATGGCTGGCTGGCTGCCCGATTCTCAACTTCAGGTAAGCTCTCTCCATGATCATTTCTCATTAGGTGGGCACAAGATCACAAGATTAGTTCAGATTATCAAGGCCCTTTGGCCCATCTGATCTCATCCTTCTAGAATACCCAAACTATCGTTCTCCCATCACGTCAACAAGCTGGTTTTGAATGAGGGGGCCGAGGGACTGCAACAGGTTCATGTTTGTGGAGTAGGATTGAGTAGGAGAGTGGGGCTGGGAGAGACTGCAGAGGTGGGTCAAGGGTGTGGAATGATATGTAAATGATCTGCTGCGGGGCAGGAAGTCAGGATGGTGTGCTGGTCACGTGGAACCTACTGTGGGAGAGGATATGGGCTCCCATGGATTGATGGAATATGGAAGGTCGGTGAAGAGAACATCTGAGAACTCAAGTCTGGTGGTGAAGAAAGCAAGAATGAGGGTATTGGCTGTATTGGGGGTGAGATAGGGATAGAGGCAGGTGATATTCTGAAACATGATTTAACTAGCCTTTTTATTATTAGAAAAATCAATTTCCTAAAATACTGGATCCAGAAACTGTCGTCAACTCTGACTTCAGTACATTGGAAGTCTTCTGTCTACATGCAAAAACTAAACAATACGATTTATGGAACGATGATGCTTTGAATCAGCACCTAATGGAAGGTCCATCTACTACATCTTCCTCTCAGGAGAGCACTCCCAATGATAAAATCAGAGGTGGTGGCCAGCTGGAACAGGACATTTTGGATACAGTAATGTACACCATCTTTGAAGACGGCTACAAGAGCCAAACTCCTGTCACCAGCAGCTCAATGTCAAACCAGCCTCTACTTTCACATTCTTTGGAAGGAAGCAGGAACGACCAGGAAACTGGGATAAATTGTTGGCAAACAGCTCCAGGAAACGGATGTCCACAGTACGTTCAAATAAGTGATATGTTTCAGGAAATTATTCAAACAAATCCATATCTTAAGTCCTCCATGAAACCAATCACAATCCAAAATTTACAGAGCCTGGAGAGCTTGGTAGCAGATCCCAGCTTTGATGAAAACCATGAAGTAATCAAGGCAATATCCAAAGACTCTGGATCATTGGATCCCCAGCAACAGAACAGTCAACTGGATGACATAGACTGGTCATATATTACACTGGAATTGCTGGAACATGAACTGAACAATTTAACTTAACAGCCAGATAAACAGTGTTTGTGACACAACCACAAGCAAAGCATCTCTCACCACTTGTATTCCATAACTGTGAAGACAAAACGTTTCTAGAGATTCTAGTGCTGCAGCTACTCTGAAAGGTGTGAGCATCTGTGTAATAATTGAAGTAAAGTATTACAGAAGTTTTCACATAAAGGTTGAATGATGTGATTGCTCTCCTCAGTTCTCCTTTAAACCTTTCATCCTGTCCCTGACCAATTTTGCTTTCTTTCTCCATTTCCTCCAATATTCTTCATCACTGTCCCTATCTCACCTCCAACTCTGCCGAAAACTCTCATTTGCACCTTTGTCACCTCCAGATGTGATTTTTCTAATTCTGATTCTCATTCTGACTTTTAAATTCCTCCATCCCCTACCAAGCTTTCATGCACTTTGCCCCGACCCTCTACCTAAATCCCTTTCTGCTTTGCACTCACCCTGCTTTCAAAAACGTACCAAAAGCCTTTTCTTACATGTAAAGCTGCTGTATAAGTTTAAGTTATTATTGTTATTGCTGTTTACCACAAAGGGATGGAGAGTTGACATTTTGGTTGAAGAAGGCTGTTGGTAATGGAATCTGAAAGAGTTGCTTGTGGCAGCACATAGACCCATGTTACACTTGCAGGTCCATGTAACAGTGCTGGTCATCACCTATCTCGAGATTTAAGATAACTACTGATAAACATTTCACCAAAGCATTTGACCAAAATAGGATATGGAATTCAGAAGGCGTTTAGGATATATTCTGCATATACTTCAAAGAAAAACCTTTAAAGCATTGGTTGAGAGGACAGCCCTTAACAATATTATGATCATGTCTCCTGGTCATCTAGCAGACAAAGGCAAGCAGTGGCAGAAACATTAAAATGTTTAGTGTTGGAATATTTGTGCACTTCATACTAATTCTGAAGAAAATTGATTTTATTTTTTGCATAATGACACTAGAAGTTGTCCCAGATTTTGTCAACAACACTGTCATAAACCGAAAAACATTTCACCTGCTGGGGTGAAATTTGTTAAATTCCATTTATTTTTGTTCCATAAAAATATAATACAAATTGATATTTATCTAGCGCTTTTCACACCTAGAGAATGTCCCAAGTGGTTTAATGAAAATGGCTCATCACCTGAGCTAGCAGTGGGAGGTGAGAGGATATGGGGTAGGAGGGAAGGGATAGAAGACTGAACGTGTCTGCAGACAACCAGACCATGTAGCCCATTCACACTGTGTGAAGAAAGCGTCACTGACATCAGCTTTGCAAATTAAGTTCCGTTTGCAGCATTCCTGCGAATGGCATTTGCAGACAAAGAGGAGGAAGTGACAACAAAGGTCACCGACTTGACCACCTGGAAGTTGGCAATCTTTTCATGCTTGTCTTATAATGCACTATCTGAGAGGTTAGAATGAAAAGGTCCTAAAGTGTTATAACAAGGTTGCCCTGCAAATGATGTTTTTATGGCTCAGTGGGTAAATGCAGTGCTGGGTGATGTGCACCAGCAAGGTCCTGGTTTTGATGCCTGGTCAGAGTTTAGATAACCAATCTCAGATGGAGCGACAGTGTGAGACCTACAATTGATTTTAGTGTCTAGTGATGGAACATTTTGGCCAACATTCCTATCACGTACAACTTGAACTTATACAGCATCTTTAACATAGGTTGAACATCTTGAGGCACGTTACAGGGACGGTTATGTTCGCTGAGCAGGAGGGAGAATTACTGTGAAGAATTATTATTATGCAGTGACGTCTACATATATTTGAACATGAGAACAAGGTTATGTTCCTTGATTATGAAGGACACACTGTGTAGAAGTCAGCTTTGGAACCTTAGCCTGTGGAACCTTACCTTGGTTTTTGTGTAACAGATTTTACGAAAATATGTATCTACTGATTGTGTTTTGTTTCCTTTGCTAAAAGAGTTTGTAATTTGTTTTTTAAATTGTAAACTTGTCCCAGCCACTGAGCCACTCTGTGTGTGCATGTGCATTTATAGAACACTCTTCGCATGAGGTAGCATTTCAGATTCCAGTCAAAAGTATTGGTTCGATTATGTTTGGGAGAAGTTTGGAAATGTGTTGTTTTCCAAATTACTCACACTCAGGTGAGAATATGTTTAGGTTAAGATGTTCTCAAAGAAAATGGCCAAGTTCTTTAATGCATTGAATTAATGTTTTCCTGAAACTTGTATCAATGATCATTTTAAGATTTTTATTCTGGTGTGGAAGAGACTTCTGAAATATCTGGTAAAGCCAGAGGGGGAACATCAAGATAGCAGGTCAGGAATATCACACAAGGAACCAAGAGAGAGAGAGACCTGACTGACTGACTGACTGATTGATTGATTGATTGATTGATTCTACAATGTGAAGAAAAATACCATTTTCCAAGCGAAAAAAATTATCAGTAAAATATGTATTTTATAAAATATTGTGTTTAATTCTTTTAATTCCTCCTTTTAAAGTCTGTATGTATGTATATGTGTATATTATCATATTCAATGAATTAAAAGCATACTCTTTAATTGGAAAACAAGCTGGTGTGATTACTGATATATTTCAGTCCTTATATCTTGGAGAATGAAAGTCATTTGTGCTTACATAAACAAATCATTCCACAAAATAGGCTTGAAAGGAGAGAAGTTGGCTGCAACTGAAATTGATAGTAACCGATTTTTGTTTTTTTGGTCAGCCGGGTGTCTTGACACAAGTGGAAACCTGTCACCATGCTAAAGAGTATCCAAACCAAGGTGAGATTTCCATGCATCCCACATACACATAGAAATACCAGAGATAGATTGTTGGAATGGAATGTGCAATCTTTCCCTGGAGGGACTCATCCTGCTTATCTAATTCCGGAAAGTATTAGGCGCAGATTGGCAAGAACCAAGGCTTGGGGACCCCAGAGTGTGCATTGGAGTAACTGCTGGAGTCTAACCAGCTAAAAAAGCATAACTTGCCACTGATATTGCTGTCCGGCAAGCTTTCCTGCTGCTTATCCAGCTCGGACCACCTTATCCGTTAGGGTTGGCATACAGGGTTAACAGGAGCTGAGCGGGAAGAATCCCTGCCCCAGTGACTGGTCTGCCCTTCCAGGTCCTGCCGATGAGCCAGGCTGGCTGTGGTGTCATCAGCAGTGCTCTGGAATACTGCTGACCCATCAGGATCCGGACTACCGAGAACGTCACAGAGGGCTGGCTCAACTCAGATATTCTGTTGGCTACTATGTCACTTTGGAGATCCCGCTTACCTCCTGCACCCCCCAACGGAGAATAGTGGTGACTGAGAAAGAGTAATACAGAGGTAAAGCAAAGAGATAAGTCAGACTGTAAAACTTGTAACAAATCAGTTTCCTGGGCTTCCTGCAGGGCCATTAGGAAAACTGCAACAAGGAATAACTGAACGATAGTGAACTCTTTTAATTTAATTTGCTGTACATTGTCATTGCTTACTGAAATGATTGAGATGTAGAGACAGATAAATATAGGATACAGCAAGAGTGGAGGAAATGTGTGAGTGAAGTTGTGTGGTCACAATATGTTCCAGGATTTTCCATAGAAAGACCAGGTTGGAGATGGGATGGTAGTCAGAGTTGGGCGGGTGGGCAGTTTGGAGGGTGGAGAGGGACGAGGAAAAATGGGGGCCAAAGTTTGCAAGTAGGGGAAACAAGGGAAGGAACAGGAGGAGACAAACTGGGGTGGCAGAAAGTATGAAGGATGCACCTGTCTTAAAGGTGAGCCATTGGCTTGACTGACAGGTCCATCGGCCAATCAGAGGTGAGGACACCCTGAGATTTACTCAGTTCCCCCCCACGCCAGGAACATTTTCACTCACAGACTATGGCGGCCATGCCTTGCTGTCCTGCGGAAAGCCCAGGGAGCCTGAGTGGGGGGGCCTTAGTCAGGTGGCCTAATGTTATGGGGAGGCTTCAATCCAGACATTTGACTGAACGTATGAAAGCAGAAGTAGAGGGAACAAGTCTCAAATGAAAAATAAAAAAACACAAAATTGAACTAAAGGTTAGATGGCCTTTCACAGATGATGGACATATGGTACACCTTTCTAGCAAATGGAGTTCATGCTGAGTCAGTCAACTGCTTCATTATACAAGTGGATATATTAACTGCTCAAGAAGAGTATGAATGTTTTTCTTATTCCTATAGTTTACCCTCCAATGATACTCTCAGTCAAGTATTTGGAGAGGTTTTGAATTCCACATCTCTCGTCCTAAATCTAGTTTTCTTCATTGCCCAATAGTAGCTGACTGGACTCTGATCGTACAGAGACCCTTGTTGATGAAAATTGGTCATTGTTGCTCTCCATTAAAGCTGTATCTTCAATATGACTTGAACAGTTCCTTCCTGAGTCACTTGCATCACAGCTGTGGCTCTGTTCCTCTTCCAGAGTGTTGACACTGACATTGCTGACAGTGACATCTCCGCCTTTTTCTGGCTCTTGACTCAGACTAAAGGTGCTCTGAAATAAAAAGCAAGACAACAACAACAAATTACAATTCTATAGCGCCTTTCACATCACAAATACTTTAAGCAAATGCAGATAAATGCACTGACATTTGAGTGATTATCAATCAGTCATGGGAACAGCGGACAGGAGGATAGGGATAGGAGGAGGACGTTCAGCCCATCAAGCCTTTTCCATCATTTTATTAGTTCTTGTCATATCATTTAATCCCAATGCCCCGCTTGGTCACCATATCTCTTAATACCTCTACTACCCAAATAACTATGTTTCTCTTTTAAATATCCCTATTAATTCAACCGTAACTCAGTTTTAGTTATTATTTAAGGCTAGACCCTCTCTATTAGACAGAAGGATTGGGTTAATTTATGAGGTTGGATTATGAAACCACTATCTAGCCTGTCAATTCCTTTTATTATTTTAAATGCCTCAATCAAATCATCCCTTAACCTTCTCTGCTTTAAGGAATATAATCTGAGTTTACCCAGCCTCTCATCATATCTATGCTCCTTCAGCCCGGGTTTTAATCGAGTGAATTATGACTAATATATTCTTTCTATGATTGAGTGCCCAAAACTCCAAATAAGGTCTAACTAGCACTCTATATAACTGGAGCAGCAGCTCCTTATTTTTATATTCCAGCTATCTTGCAAACACAAGTAGAATACCTTGGAGCTGAGAGATACCAAGCCTTGTTGTAACTCAGGGTCAGTAATAAAACTTGTGATTGTTTGGCAATGGAAAAATGAGAATCCAACAGACTCTAATGATTGCAAAAGCAAGTTTCCTGATTGGTATCATAAAGTTAACTGTAACAGTAATTTATGGTTCATCTCATGCCTACATGGGTGTTCTATGTGGCCTTATATTAAGCACATAGACAAAAAGTCCTAAATTTGATCCCGAGTCTATAGCTGGGTTGACCGATCTCACAAATAATGTCAATGATAGAATTGTCGTTTGTGTCTCTGGGTTAGAGGAAGAAAAATCATCTGGGAGATCTGACCACTATCCAGTCTACTTGCTTAAAAGTCTCAGTAGAATATTCATGAAGTCAAGAGTGATAAGCAACTATCTGTCCAATCAAAGGCTCATTCAAGTCAGACGAGAACAGCACCTCCAACAATTCAGCACTCGCTCAGATTGCATTGGATCGACAGTCAGTATGCGCTCAATCTATGTCCCAATGTGAGGCTTCAACCATCAACGTCTGACTGAGAAGCAATATAGCTACCAACTAAGCCAAACTGACAATTCTACTCGCCACTAGATTTTTTTATGATGCCTCAGAAACTATATACGAGTCAGCACCTGATAATGAAACTCAGGTATCATTACAACACATGTAATTCTGAGTTTTGCTGCTGAAATTTCTATTTAACCAACTTACCAGAGCTGAACTTTGTGGTGAACTTGCAGAGTGAATGCTATTTGCTGGATCTGGGATATTGGAAACAGAGGCTTTTGTAATTCTAAAGAAATAGAAAAGAATAATTAACTAGCTAAGAATTTGGTGTTAATCCTTTTGTAAACTACAGATTGAAAATTCCAATTAGTTTTAGCCAGTAATACCAGTTTATCTTAAAACACAAAATAAAATTCAGGCAGAATTGATGATAAATCTTAAATGCAGTCTTACAATACAATACAAAATTACATTTGTATCATGCCTTTCATGTCAGGAGGACATCCCAAGGCATTGGATAGTCAGATTTGGAGGCAAGCAACTAATTAAGTCTTAATTAGTTACTGAATTTCTTTTTCAAAAAAAACTTCTCAATTAAACTATCCTCCAGGGGAAAGGGGATAAAAGCAGGATCTCCTTGGAGCTGAGCTGGTAAATGGCAATGGAATATCGGGATTGAGTTTATCCTGTGTATCAGTCTGGTAGTCTGGTTTTTGACTCCGGTGAATCCGCAGAACTCCAATAATATGGATAACGAGTTATCATTGTAATATGCATCAATCAGTGGTATTTACCTGTGCTTAAAGTACACAAACAGGGATAAAGCAGCAAAGAACAAGATTCCTAGGAAAATGCAAATTGCAATCGCTTCAGTTTCTCCTTTTGCTGAAAAACACATGGAAAGACAAACTCATTATACTCACAGACACAAAGCAATGGCTGCACAGTTAACTGCAAAACTCAACAAAGCTTTGACTTTAATACTTAGATTCAATACTAAGTACTAAAAAATTAATACTAAGTACTAAATACTATTTAATACTAAGTACTAAAAATTCTAGTGATGGAATCATATGATAAGTGGGGTTTCCTCGGGGCTGTGCTGTGTCCAGGTGATTTCCTTGGGAACAGAATATCAGATTTGAGACAACCCTCTGTGGCAATGTTGTAAGCCTTGGTAGTTCAGTTCCTGAGCCAAGCAAGTCCATAGTACTCCAACTAGGGGTTGCAATCCTGGGAATCCCAATCCCAGGATCCCAGATGGGAATAGTGCTCTCAAAATCCTGGGATTTCTGTATTGTATAAAGGCCTAACCTGGGCAGAAGGAAGCAAGTCTTCCTGCTCCACCTGAAGCAGGTCACACGTTGCTGTTAGGATTAGCTGGTGGCAGCAGATGGGCGGGTATTTAAATTTCCGGGTGCCCTCCCCATGCAGAAAGCTTTTCTGAGGTACCCCCATTGGTGCAGAAAACGTCTGCAGGCGTCCTTGACGAGGTAAGATTCAGGATCCTGGAATTTGGGGCATTAAAATCCTGAAATCCCAGGATTCTGAAAGAGCACCAGGATTGCAAGCTTTAACTCCAAGGCACCGTTGATGCCATACCAACTTGCTTGGCTTAGCCACAGGACTTAGATAGAAAGACCAGTCACTGGGAATGGAATTCTTCCCAATTGGCTCCAGTTAATCTTTAAACCAAATCCCTATTGATTGGGTGTGGTCCCAGCTAAACAAGCAGCAGGAAATTTGTCAGTCAGTATTCTCACGCACATTTTTTGATTGCTACCCCACGCACATTCTGGCACTGCCAAGTCTTGGCCTTCATCAACCTATGCCTAATACTTTTCAGAATTGTGTAAGCGGGTGTGTTCCTTCAGAAACAGAGTGTGCAATACATTCAAGACACAGGAAAATTTCCATGCGTAGGTGGCATGAATGTATGAAACTCTCAATATGGTTTGGATATTCTTAAGTATGGTTTTCCACATGAGTCAGATATCTACATGTTTTTACTATTTTTACAGAGTTCAATCCTCCCGGGAATAATAATAATAATAATCCTTTCATTTGATATAGCGCTTTTCACGTCGGGAGGACGTCCCAAAGCGCTTCACAGAACACACTGTAAAGTGAATTGACTGTATATTTGTGGGCGAACGCGGCAGCCAATTGCGCACAGCAATGTCCCACAAACAGTCGTAGATTGAAAATGACCAATTTAATTATTGTTTTTGTTTTTTTGGAGGGATTATTATTAGGCGTGTGGAGTAAGGAAACTTGCCCAAGGTTTCGCCCTGCCTGGAATTGAACTTGCAAAGCGAGTGCTCTAACCACTGAGCTACAGGACTCCACAAGGGAAGGTTGCCAATGCCAGATATTGATGCTGTGCTTGTTATTTTACATCTATCAGTGTATCTCGCTTGTTGCATAATTTTTCAGATGTAAATCAGCTGACCTTTGTATAAGTTTAGATGTAAAACAGAGGATGTAAATAAAAATACTGTAACCTAGAAGATTGAACTCTATCCCCAAGTGCCTTCGCCTTGCTTCCTCCCTTTCCTCCTTCAAGGCCAGTCTCAAGACCTTTCTCTTCAAGCGTGCCTTCAGCTCCCCTCTCGACTCTCTAATCCCTCCTCGCTTCCTCCCTCCCCTCACCCTGACCATTTCCCCCCTGCTCGGGTCCCGACCCAACTGTCCAGCGCTTGGGACGTCCTCCCGACGTGAAAGGCGCTCTATAAATGCAATCTTCTTGTTGTTGTTGTTGTTGTTGAATGGGAGGACATATAGCAGAAAGGATTGATAGTGGGGAGAGAGAGGAGGCTGTGAGCCTGCAATAACATTGAAAACTGTTCAAGCTCTGAGTGGCAAGTGTTTTCATTTTATTTGGAAAGTGTCATACAATAGCTAAAATTTGTCAGTCAACTTTAGTGTAAATGAGAAAATGGTATCAGGAGCAGTGTGACTTATACCTTGTTTCATGTTTTTTCCTTGATATTTTATTATTAATCCTTGCATTTGGTGTAGCATCTTTCAAGGTGGGAGGATGCCTCAAAGCGCTTCATAGGAATTACAGTGAAATGGAATGTATTTTTGAGTCAAAAATCTCCTTCAAAGCCCTCCACAGTCTTGCTCCTATCTCTGTGATCTGCTAACGCCATATCAATCTGTCGGCTCCCTCCGCTCAGCAGACTCTGGCCTGCTCCATGTTCCCCGTCAGGTCTGCCCCACCATTGGCGGTCAGGCCTTCAGCCTCTCTGATCCCACCCTTTGGAACTCCATTCCACAGTCCCTTCGCCTCACTCCCTCCCTTCCTTGCCTCTTCTCAAGACCTTCCTCTTCGAAGAATTGCTTGCCCAAGGTCCATCCACCATCCTGGCAGTCACATGCCATGTCGCAAACTATATACTATATCCCAAGGTATTATTTCCTAAAAGAAATCTATCCAATTTCCTACTTACCAAATTGTAATGTTTTGAAAACGATGGGGATACTGTTAGTGCCTCCCTCTGCGGTAGATGCCATAACATGCACTTGGTACAAGGTATCAGCTCTTAGATTAGTCAGCATGTATTTCCGACTTGCTGAGTCAACAGTCACATCTGCAAAAAGGTGTGCACAAGAATATAAGCAACTATAGTCTGACCACATTATAGTATACAATGGGTTTCGTTACAATATAGGACCTACTGCCAAGCAATAATAATAATAATATTAATCCTTGCATTTGATACAGCGCCTTATCAAGTCTTTGAGACGTATCAAAGCACTTCAGTACACTTCCTGCTACTGCTCTAACTTGCTGGCTTCCTATCCATGATGTACACAGGTCTTCTGGATGCCAGCAGCATTAAGATTGATCGTGATTTCATTGGAGGAGCAAACCTGGGCATTATTACAATGGCCTACTGAGTCACAGGTTTCTATGCTTTTAAATGTGATTACAACAAAGATCTACCCATCCAAGTCCTGATGATGAGTCAGGCTGGGTGATCTGTTAACAGCATTGCTCTGGAGCACTACAAATAAATGGATTAACACTGTCTGAGAATGGTATTGGAGGCTATACACGTTAGTTATGGACTGCTTGGCTAAGGAACCAGACAACCAAGACTACCACAGTGGTTTGACTCGATTCTAATATTCCATTGCCAAGCAAGTCACCGTGTCATCAACTCATCTCCACAGAGATTACTTCCCAGGTGACGCTGTATCTATTAACATCTTCAAAATTAACAGGAAAAATATGTCTGAGAATGATATTGGATGCTACAAATATTAGGTATACATTTAGACAATCAAATGATCCAGTTGGCTGATATACCATTAAGTTTTGGGGCCTGAAATTAGGAAGCTGGCTTTCTGCTGTTCTTAAAGAATTTCAGAACTTTCCACAAATCTGCTCAAACTTAAATTTTAAGACAAAAAGCTCTTTTAGCCTAAGACTTTCTGGCTCCAGGAGCCTGAGTCATATTTGATAATAAATTTAATAAATAATCCTTGAATTTGATATAGCTCTTTAATGTGTTGCTGAAATGGTTCACAGTGCTTCACATAATTTACTGGAATGTGGAAACCCACGCAAACCAATTTAGTTGTTTCCTCAAATATTTCTAGATTTGTGAATGATGAATTTTGCTTCTAAGATGCCTAATCTTTATAACATCTATGCTCTTTAGATGACCATTGATAAAAGCCTATATAATGCTCCTTAGAATTATGCACACTTTCATAAATGAAATAACATGAAAAGGATAGAGGGATTAAACGATATGGGCGGGTAAATGCTATTAGGTTAGAAGATCAGCCATGACCTTATTAAATGGGAGGCAGCCTCAAGGGGCTGGATGGCCTATTCCTGCTCCTACGGCTTATGGTCTTACGGTTATCAAGTGGATAGGAAACCAAGAAGATGATATGGTGCTGTGATTTATGTGAACGGGATTTATAATTTACTGGAACTGACAAGCTTTGGAAATGTTGCCAATTGCAATCATTTCCTTTCAAACCAGATTGNAAAAAAGTGTTGTTGTTCGGTTGAAAGAGGAACTAACTGCTTCCACAGTGTTCTAAATAACACACTGGTTTACATTGAAGGAAACAATTTACGAGATAACTTTTCGCAAATTGAACAATCTGCAATTCCGTTACTGGTCACATGCAATCATCGCGTGTGTTTGCATCTTCATAATCTGATTGAAACAAAATACTTGACAAAAAAAAAGTTTTGAAAGCAGAGAGGCAGTGAGAGAAGCAGAGGGGTTTAGGGAAAGATTTCTGGACAATGGGAGCAAAATGTGTGAAAGCTCCACTAGATAACATTAATAACGGCATTTAATATTCCATATGTCCTTGGAGCCACAATATGGGATTATCACTAGCATTTAAAAGGAGAGTGGCATCCTGCGGGTTGGCAGTCATAAAGACTTTCCCATTTGATTTCATCCTTGTGGAAGAAATCAGACCGCTTGGACACTTGTCACTTGCAGCTCATGGCAGGTTCCATGCCATGTCTCATTGATAAATACCCATGGAGATGCAATTGCTGAACTGTATCTGAACAGAAAACATGCCAGAATAAAAATTAAAATAAATAATGGAATTTTTTTACATAGGCCATCTGATGACCCACTGCACATCAATAACAGCTAAGTAGAGTAATGGTCACCTCGAGTTGTTCTTTAATTACCTAAACGTACATGACATAACGTACACAAGACAAGAAAAGATTATTATGATCCACTTGGCTGCTCCCATTTATTATATTTGTCATAGCTCTCAACCCTCACTGCCATCAGAAATCTAATTTCCTTTTAAATCTGTACGATTATTTGCTTCTACTAAAGGCAATGCCGCCTGGACACCAGATTTGCCTTGAATAGATTTAGTCGGATAAGAGACCATTTTGTCTTAAAATTTAAGATCATGGAAAATTCTTCAATTCAGTTTTAACTTGGGAACCAATTTTCTGCAGTTCTTACAAAAGACAGGCTTGCAAATTGAGACTGAATTTAGAAATTTTACGCAATTCTGAGCTATCTTGTCATTTAAGACAAAATGGTCTTAAAAATGAAGATCAGGTGGAATTTTGGTTTCTGGTGAAGAATCATGACTGCATTGTATAATTCAATCATTACGTCCTACAACCTATCTCTCTCTTTTAGTTAAATGCATTAAAGTCTAGCTTGCCTACCTTTTTTCTGCCACACACACATTATGTTAAATGTTTCAGAGAGCAAGTTGCAAGATCCTTTTGCTGGGTTATGTTCTACTTCTCATCTCATATCCCCACCAGTTATTGCTTGTTCCAGTTTCATACATTTATCAACATTAAACAATTACCACTTTTCAGCTCAACTCCTTAATCGATCCAGATATGTCTGTATTCTGTCTATGTATCTTCTGTTACTGTATTAGCAACCCCCTTCAATTTGGTATTGCCTGCAAACATGCCACCATTTGTTTCTGCCCTGCTTGAAAATTAAATCCTAGGGTTTAAAACCCTTCCAACCCTCCCTCTGCTAAGTAGAACTGGCTTGCTTTACCGCCCTGCCTAATCCACAATCAGCGGTCAGTGTTTCAGCTCGGTCAGTTACAACTCAACTACAGTTGTAAGTATAATAATAATCCTTGCATTTGAATAGCGCCTTATCACATCTTTGAGACATCTCAAAGCGCTTCACAGAATATACTGTAAAGTGAATTGACTGTATATTTTGTGGGTGCAATGCGACAGCCAATTGCGCACAGCAGTGTCCCTTAAACAGTCATGAATTGAAGTAACCAATTTTTTTTAAGACATTATTACCCCCGGAAAAGCGATCCGCCAATTGACTAACAACTGGGTTCCTACTTATTGCTAGGTAAACAGAGGCGTGTGGAGTAAGGAAACTTGCCCAACATTTCGCCCTGCTGAAAATCAAACCTAAGTCTCTCACTTGCAAGGCTAGTGCTCTAACCACTGAGCTACAGGACTCTGTATCATGCAGTATAATGAATGTTTCATATCAGAAGCAATAATAAGTAAGGTAAACTTACTTGATGCATGTCCATGTCCACTGTGATTCTTATAAAATATGGTATAATTGGTGATGAAACCACGCTGTTCTTTTACTGGAATCACATCCCATTGAAACTCCGCATCAGTTTTTCCCACCTTCTTCAGATGAACTATTGGACCTTGAGCTGGACCTGAAAAAAGGTGAGAGAAGAGGATAAAATTTTACTACCGTTCGCACCGTTTATCTGCTGCTCAGCATATGTCACTACCTTCAGAGGCAAGAAAAAGAAAAATGTAAACTAGTCATTTACAGATATAAAGCCTGCAATTCCACCTAGTCTTAGGCTGTAAGACTGCGAGATGCTGCCCTGCGTAAAGGGTGGTATATAAGTGCAAGTTGTTGGTGTTAAGACCATTTTGTCTTACTGTGTAGAAATTGTGAAACATTCTTAGATTCAAGTTTTAATTTGACAGCTCATTTTTTTCAAGATCTGTGAAAAATCAACTTCAATATTAAGATGGAATTGAAGAACGTTGCACAATTTTCTGAGATCTTGCATTTTAAGAGAAATGATCTTACCAGGTAACACAAGTTGGAATGTCTGGCCTTCTATTGATTAATGGTAGTGAATTAGACTTTATGATGTGACTGTGCCTGCCACGATTGGCTCAATATGATGATCATGGCTCAAGGAGCCAACATTGGCCTTGAACCCACAACCTTCTGACTCAGAGGCAAGAGTGCTACTACCAATTGAGCCAGGCTGACACCTACCAAAGTTTTCAGGGTGATGTTATTAGACTTTACTTACAGTCCTGTTGTAGGTATGCTTTTATGGAAACTGGAGCTCCAGGACCATCACTATATAGAGGATAAACTGTTATCTTATAGCACCTTAATGGCACAATGTTTTCTGCGGAAGAAACAGATTGAGGTTAAGTTACTAATTCTGGTAATGTATCATGACCTATGCAATTCACCAGATGAAATACCAACATTGGAGAGGATTAAAAAGGCTTTGCTGTGGTGTGGAGTGGAGTGGTGGCAAAGCTCCACTGCCTGCATTCTCACTCGCACCAACTCTGCACACCCATCAACATGCTCCGTCCTCGCCAGGCTCCATTGGCTCCCTATTTCCTAGATTGACTTCAAGACCCTCAGTCTCCCCAATAAATCCCTTCACACCTGAGCACCTCCCTATCTCTGTGACCTTCTGTCACCTCACGTTACTGCTCACTTCCTCCTCTTGGTTAATTTGGGATAACTTTGCATTCCCCACCTCCTCTATGCCACCATCAGTGACTGAGGCTTCACCAAATACTCTCCTAATCTCTGGAACTCCCTCTCTCTTCCCCACTGTCTCGTCCTTCCCTACACATCTTCAAATTCCATCTAAAAGCCTATCTCTTCACCAGAACTATGGCCTATCTCTTCCTTTGCTCGGCCTCAGACCTATGTGAAGGACGTTAAATAAATGCGAGTTGTTGATGTTATTAATTATTTGCCATTATGAAGTACTTACCATGTACAAATGCCTGTTCAGTGGTATTGTGTTCATATCTCCAATGCACCTGCTCACTACATTGATCATTGTCCAGTTCAGCCAGACACCATTCAATTACGTAACCATTTACAGTGGAACTTGGAGACTTCCACTCCACTACCAACTGATCACCATACGGAGAAGCACTGATGTTTTGTACTGGTGCAAGTTCTCCTACAAACATCAAACAAAATTGAATTACAGCATTCAACAACGAATACCACGTCAGAGCTAAAATATAAAGCATACAGTAATGTAAACCTATTTAATTTGGTGTCCACTTTTTGGCAGTAGAATAGGCCCAATTCATGCTTCATGGACCAATGCGATCCCTGAGTATTGCACTTGTCTGTCGAATTAAAGTGAGGGTATGTTTTAATTTATATGTTTTTCGCTGCTCATTTAGTTCCACGCAAAAACTTCTAAGTGAGAAGTTCTACAACAAAATTCAATGAGCCGTGAAAAATACCAGTTATACAGTCAATGAAGCAATGCTCATTGATACTGACACAATACAAATTGGAACTTCTAGGAAGAAAACTTGACCTAATTGGTTACATTATTCAGGCTCCCTGGCAGCCAATGACATACATAGAGATGACCAGGTCTAAAGGTACAACAATTCAAAAACAATTTATCCCGAGGAAACAAAATTCAATCTTAGACCAGGTTCCATTCGGAAATAATATACAGAATTTAAATCAATTTAAGATGCATTTCCTGATACAAGATATTCTAAAGATGTGTAGAATCCAAATAAAATTTAGAATGGATTTGTTTTTTTTCCTTAAGGAGACACAGTATTCAATCTGTGTTCAGTTTATTGATTAGCACAAGATTCCTGATCCTAGTTATTATTTAGCGAGTTTTGTTGTGGGTACATATGTGTAGGTAATAATAATATCATTTTATGTAGCACCTTTCATGTTGGAGGACATCTTAATGCACTTTACAGAAAATACGGTAGTGTAGTAACTGTGTATTTTGTAGGTGAATGAGGCAGCCAATTTGCACGCAGCAACTGCGCATATTCTTCCCGCAGACTATTATTGTAGTTCTGAAAGTGTTACACTTTGTATTTACAGATTGAACATTTAATTTTTTTGTTGCTAAGGGAGAAATTGAAGCGATCGTAGGAGTTTCTTTTCCATCACAATAGTGATTGTACTGCTCTGCTACAACAAACGGCATCTGTAAGTTCCCATTATTTTAGCTTAGCTTTCCAGGTTACAGAATCCCACTCTCTCCGTCCCACCATCAATGGCCAGGGGCTCAGCAATTCAGCCCCGATTCTCTGTGACTCCATCCCAGAATCCCTCCGAGTCCTTATCTCCCTCCCCTCTTTCATGGCCCATCTCAAGACCTACCTCTTTCACTGCCCTTTTGGTCATCTTTCCCCTCCCCACCCCATTGGCTCCCACCCACAACTTGGATGTCCAGCAGCAGTGTAAAACAACAGCAACAACAACAACAAGATTCCATTTATAAAGCGCCTTTCACGTCAGGACGTCCCAAGGCGCTGCACAGTTGGGTTATGACCCGAGCAAGGGGGGAAATGGTCAGGGTGAGGGGAGGGAAGGGAGGGAGCGAGGAGTGGGAAGAGAGTCGAGAGGGGAGCTGAAGGCTCGGTCAAAGAGAAAAGTTTTGAGACCGGCCTTGAAGGAGGAAAGGGAGGAAGCAAGGCGAAGGCACTGGGGGATGGAGTTCCAGAGCCTGGGGGCTGAGAGGCTGAAGGCCCGACCACCGATGGTAAGGCGGTTGGGGCGGGGGACGTGGAGCAGACCGGAGCCAGAGGAACGGAGGGTACGGGCAGGTAGGTAGGGGGATAGTAGGTTGGAGAGGTAGGAGGGAGCAAGGCCGTGAATGGCCTTGTAGGTGAGGATGAGGATCTTGAAATCAATCTTCTGGGGGATGGGGAGCCAGTGGAGGCGAGCGAGGGTGGGAGTGATGTGGTCCCGAAGCCTGGTGCGGGACAGTACACGAGCTGCAGAGTTCTGAATGACCTGCAGCCTGTGGAGGGAGGTGGCGGGAAGGCCGGCGAGGAGAGAGTTCCCATAGTCCAGCCTTGAGGTGACAAAGGCGTGAACCAGGGTTTCAGCAGCGTGAGGGGTGAGGTAATGCCGTAGTCTGGCGATGTTCCGGAGGTGATGGAAGGCGGTGCCAGTTGTGGTGCGGATGTGAGGGAGAAAGGACAGCTCAGGGTCGAACAAAACGCCGAGGTTCCTGACTGGCTTTGAGAGGTGGAGAGTGCAGCCTTGGATGCTGATGGTGTCAGCGCCTGAGGTGCTTTGAGACGTCTTTCTGATATGGGAGACGTTATGTAAATAGTAAATTGTATTGAGCCACAATTGCACATATTACCCCATGATCAAATCACCAGAAGACAAATATAATCAATATTAATTATTGTTTAATCAACTAATTGAAGAGCTCCTGTATGGAAATACCCTAATAAATGACAGCTAATACTGTTTCAAAAGGAATAAAACTCAGCCAACAAACTTTAAAGAATTTGTTTGAGGATGTAACATCCCAAATTGGTGTATTGCACCTTTACTTCCAAAAGGCCTTTGATAAAGTGCCACACAAGTGGCTCCTTTACCAACTGTGAGTGTATGCCAAGAATAAGCCATACACCTTAATTACTGGGTTACTGAAGAGAAAGAGGGAAAAAGTAGTTGTAGTAGGAGCTAATCATAATAAATAATAATAATCCTTGCATTTGATATAGCACCTTATCACATCTTCGAGACGTCTCAAAGCGCTTCACAGGATACACTGTAAAGTGAATTGATTGAATATTTTGTGGGCGAAACCAGGCAGATGACTGCACAAAGCAGTGTCCCACAAACAGTTGTGGATTGAAGTGACCAATTTATTATTATTGATTTTTTTAAGGAATTATTACCCTCAGAAAAGCGATCCACCAATCGACTAACAACCGGGTTCCTACTTACTGCTAGGCAAATAGAGACGTGTGGAGTAAGGAAACTTGCCCAACATTTCACCCTGCCGGGAATCAAACCCAGGTCTCTTGCTTGTGAGGCGAGTGCTCTAATCACTGAGCTACAGGACTTGACTAGTCAATATAATATGGGTGAGGGAGGAGAGTATTATATGAATCACCCCAGTGGTCCATGCTGAGATCATTTTTGTCCTAGAAGGAAGAGATCAAATGAGTTGAAGGGTTCCCCTTATCTGAACTACTCTTGCAACAGTACTTAAATGAACCATGTGTTCAAACTTCGTTTTTATTAAGATCAGTTTTGTTTTTGGTTGTTTGGTTTGTGAAAGCAGTTCAAATGTGATTTGAATCCTGAAAGGGTGCCTTTATATTAATAATAATAATAATAATAATAATCCTTGCATTTGATATAGTCCCTTAAGACGTCTTTGATGTGTCTCAAAGCGCTTCACAGAATGAACTGTAAAGTGAATTGATTGTATATTTTGTGGGCAAAACACGGCAGCCAATTGCACACAGCAGTGTCCTACAAACAGTTGTGGATTGAGTGACCTATTTATTATTGTTATTATTTTTTTGAAGGAATTATTACCCCTGGAAAAGCACTGAATGTGTGTTATATGGGCAAATTTAAATGTGTGTTACATGGGCAAATTTGGTTACTTAAAAAAACAAATAAGGTATTAAATATTCAAATCATTGGCGTGACCATTGATACAGGAAGTGCTCTGGGAAGCTACCCTGTGTGAAGGGCGCTATATAAAAGCAAGTTGTTGTTGAAGTTGTTGTACAGTGTCCGTGGATGATGTAAAGTCCATGCAAGACTGCGTTTAACTGTTTTCTTTAGAGAAACTTTTTTGTGGACGATACAATGAATCTTCATCAAAAAAGTGGAGTAGACCTGCTCACTTGTTATTTTACAACAACAAAATTACATTTATATAGCGCCTTTCACTTCGGGAGGCCATCCCAAGGCGCTGGACAGAGTTTTGGACCCGAGCTGAGATTCAGGATTGGGGAGGGTGAAGGGCTGGGGGGGAAGCAGGGTGATCGATAGTCAGTCGAAGAGGAAGGTCTTGAGACGGGACTTGAAGGAGGCAAGGGAGAGAGGTCGAGGTGGAGGGACTGCGGGATGGAGTTCCAGAGGGTAGGGGCAGAGTGGCAGAAGGCCTCCCTGCCAATGGTGGGGCGGGCAAGGCAGTGGACATGAAGCAGGCCAGAGCCCGCTGAGCGGAGGGAACAGGCAGGTAGGAGAGGGTTTAGGAGGTCGCAGATGTAGGAGGAGCAAGGCCATGGAGGACTTTGAAGGTGAGGACCAGGAACTTGAACTGTATCCTCTGTGTGATGGGAAGCCAGTGGAGTCGGGAGAGGATGGGGGTGATAGGGTTGCGGAGCCTAATGCGGGAGAGGACACAGGCTGCAGAGTTCTGGATGATCTGCAGCCTATCGAGGGAGGAGTTGGTGAGGCTGACAAGCAGGGAGTTTGCATAGTCAAGCCTGGATGTTATGAATGCATGTATGAGGGTTTCAGTGACCCGGGGTGTGAGACAGTGGTGGAGCCAGACGATGTTGCGGAGGTGGGGGAAGACAAGTGAGTCATGGCACGGATCTGGACTAGAAAGGATAGTTGAGGCTCAAACAAGATGCAAGGTTCCGGTCTATTTAGATTTAGATTTTTTCTACAAACAAATAAGTGTTTTTTTTGTTCTGATCCCTGTTTCTTGCGGCAAAGAGCATTCTGCCTATTTTTGAGCAGCTTTTTCTGACAGTGGCGGTCACTGTGGCGTAATCTTGTTATCAAAGGTTATTATCTTAAGCTTGAAAGAACATGATGCTGCTGGCTTTTGTCCTTTGTTCAGGACACCCTGTGTACCAACTCATGACATGTCCTATACTGCACCCTGTTGTAATGTCAATACTTTCCTTCAAACATTCCTTAGTTTGTTATTGATGACTCTAAGTGGAGGAAGTACAGATACCATTCTTTTTTCCATTGACTGAGTTTACGAACATGTTTCCAGGAAGGGTGATTGAGGCCAGGATACTTGGCTCATTTAAGAACAACAGCTAGATCCTGTGATGAAAGGATGGTAGGGTGGCTGTTCTGGAAGGATGAGACCAGATGGGCCGAAGGGCCTTCTTCATCCAAACTAATCTGTGATCTTGTGCAGTCATGTGAAGAATAACATCTTACTTGAAGATAAATAAAATGTGGCTTGTGCATCCAAAAAGGGATATGTTTGGAAAAGATATTATTTAGATTCACTCATTGAAATAATATTTAACTAAAATTAAACTAATATTACAATAATATTTTTTTTTACAAAGTTTAAATACCTTGGTGAGCTGCGGGCACGGTCAGGGTTGACTCAGGGGATTCCCCGGCTGAGTTGAAGGCAATAATAGTTATTGTATATGCTTTTCCTGAGAGAACAAGAATGTGTTCCAGTTTTGTCGTATTAAGCTGTATCACTGACTGATTCCTCTTTTCTTTTACTTGCACTCTGTATCCTAGGATGATTCCATTAGCATCACATACCCCCACCTCCTGCAGGTTAAAATGGAATGAAATTGAAATTAAACAGATCTATCCACGGGATCTTTAATGTCCACTTGAACAGGCAGACGGAACCTTTGTTTTAGTGTCTCATCAAAAGGATGGCACCTCTGACAAAGCAGGTATCCCCCCAGCACTGCACTGGAGGGTCAGCCTACACTGCAAACTTAGATATGTTTAATAGAGAGAATATTGAGATTGAGATTGATCCTGAGGGCAAAACAAGATTGTTCCAATGTAAATTACAAAATAATAATAATAATAATCCTTGCAATTGGTGTAGTGCCTTTCATCTCAAGAGAACAACACCTCAAGAGTTGCCTACAGATGTTTTGTTTTTCAACAAACACAGGAATAAACACAAAAGCACATAAGAAATGCTACTCGAAAAGAAGACCAAGGTCCATCTCGTTCGCCTTCCACCTTCCTGGTGGTTGCATGCACATATGTTCCTATGTACATGAACTCATGGGAAAAAAATGATTGTCAATATATGTATGTTTCCTTTTTTTAAAAATAATTTCATGGTGCCCAGTTATTTTTCTGTTTCATCCCCTCTCGTGCTGGGGTCTGGGTTCCATGGATGCTGATTGCTCTCCAACAGCTTGGTGATTACTCATGTGTGAGTCTTGGCAACGAGTGTTAGTACTCAACTTAATCTCACATAACCCTCTTGTCACGTGCACTACCAGTAGAGACTCCTGGGACTAATTTAGCCTCAGCATGCAGCTCCAACTGAAACCAGCAAGCACGACATAGACTGGAATTTGAACTTGCAAGGTCCCTGTCTGTAATAATCCTTGCATTACTTTTTATATAGTGCCTTATCTTTGAGATGTCTTAACGCGCTTCGCAGAATATACTGTAAAGTGAATTGACTGTATTTTGTGGGTGAAATGCGGCAGCCAATTGCACACAGCAGCTTATATATAGTAAACTCTGTACATTAGACTATGGGGGTTATCAAAATATGTTTCAATAAGAAAATAATGTCTAGCTTAAATGTGTCTGATTTAAAGAAATCCTACGTACAGTAGTACGAAATGCTCAGATCAGTCAAAGAACATAAATAAAGAAATTACCTTCCACATGATTAGAATTGTTCTGTTTTCTGACTTTGGATTTTTATTTACCATCCAAAGGGCTGGACCTTGAGATGGGTCTAAGGAACAGAAGCGAAAAAAAATAATGACAACATTTTCTGATTATATGTTAAAATCTCAAATTGATTTACAAATTCATGTTGAAAAGGGTACAGTATAATAATAGCAATAATAATAATAATCCTTGCATTTGATATAGCGCTTTTCACGTTGGGAGGACGTCCCAAAGCGCTTCACAGAACACACTGTAAAGTGAATTGACTGTATATTTGTGGGCGAACGCAGCAGCCAATTGCGCACAGCAATGTCCCACAAACAGTCGTAGATTGAAAATGACCAATTTATTATTGTTTTTGGTTTTTGGAGGGATTATTATTAGGCGTGTGGAGTAAGGAACTTGCCCAAGGTTTCGCCCTGCCTGGAATTGAACTCAGGTCTCTCGCTTGCAAAGAGAGTGCTCTAACCACTGAGCTACAGGACTCCATAGTAACAATAATAATATGCAAAATATATAATAATCCTTGTATTTAATATAGTGTCTTTTGTGTCAGGAGGACATCTTAAAATGTGTCACAGGATATAATAATAATAATCCTTGCATTTGATATAGCACCTTATCACATCTTCCAGACATCTCAAAGCGCCTCACAGAATCTACTCTGAAGTGAATTGACTGTATATTTTGTGGGCAAAACGCAGCAGCCAATTGCACACAGCAGTGAAAAGCGATTCGGCAATCGACTAACGACCGAGTTTACTGCTAGATAAACAGAGGACTGTGGAGTAAGGAAACTTGCCCAATGTTTTATATGCCATAAAATGTAGCAACTCTGCATTCTCTGGGAGAATATTATGAATAATAATGAATTTTACCCATTATATATAACCCTTCACAGTTTTTCGATAAAGTGCAGTAACTTTTAAGGGCAAATCCTTGACTGGATGAATAATGTCTGTCTATCAGTCCTCTTTAGTTGTTTGTAAATGGGGTTTAATTTGAGGGTTGTGTTAACCATGTGTAAAACATATGTTGGGAGGAAATTAGCAGGAGGCGTTGATTGTGTAATTAACAACCAATAATTCTGCAAAACCTTTTCATTGGTTAGTAATTGCATAGTTAAAGACCCATATAATTGCCTCAAAACACTTTAAGACATCCAAAAGATCTTCACAGGATTTACTGTAGTGACTGTGGATTTGTAGGCTAAAGCGGCAGCCAAGTTGCGCACAGCAATGTCCCACACACAGTTATGAAGTGAATTATAACAGTATTTCTATGCATTTTTATGATATACATACTGTCTTCAGAAGTACTTCCATTTTTCTCCAAACTCCATTCACTCCAATAGCCTTTTCCATTTATGTTCATACATCGAATTGCCACAGTGTAGACAGTAAATGGCTTCAGACCTTCAATAATGAAAGACTTTTTAGGAAGAGATGCATTCTCTATTTGAATCTGGGGGAAAAGATGTTGAAAACATTTGTTGAAAAACACCAAACTCACATTTCTACACTGAAATGACATCCTGAAGAACACCCATACGTGTATAAAAAATAACCAGTCAACATCTGACATGGATCCTGATCAAAACAAAATGGTTCATAGTGGAAACTGATTTAGGACCATTTTTTATCAAACTTCATTCAAGTTTTTTGAAGAATTTCCATCACAAGATTAACATGCACCTAAATCAGTTGCCTGAATCTAATAAGAATCTTTATTAGATTCTTTATTAGATACAAAAGTTATTTGTCCTTTCTGGCTCTTTATGAAGAGGTAATAGATATCCCACAAGTTCAGAGTCTGACATGGGATGCATAAACCTGGAACCATTTTTTATGTGCTGTGTGGTTCCATTCCACACACAGTTCTGACCAATATTGCCACCTTATTATTGAGGCAATGTTCTATCCACTGACTAGATAATGACATTCCCTTGAATGCTTGTTTATTGCTCATTAGTAGCCATTTTATTCTTTATTTCNAAAAAAGGTATTTAAAAATGACAGCATATGAAGAAAACATCAGTAATTTCCAATGTCTTCTTTTAAAGCACAACCTGTGTTCAGTACCTGCTTCCAGTCCGTTGTGCCGATCTTTTGATATCGAAGATCGTATTTTAAATGAAACACTGCAGGCAGTTTCATATCGATTACCCACTTCACTGACAGGGCATCACTCTGATCTCCCACAGGCTGCACTGATATAATCTCCGGGGGTTCAGTTTTTACTAAAATACAAAAGTGAATATATTATTATATATACGTGAAATGTGCTATACAAGATGTTAGGATCATTGTTGTTTTAGCATCTATTTTGTACATAATTATGTTAAACTATTACAGTCCTTATTGCTTAACACAACAATTTTATTTCTTGTTACAAGTTTATCCCAACAACAACAAGTTGTATTCATATTGTGCCTTCATGTGGGGTAACGTTTGGAGTACTGAACAGTGTGTAGTTTGATGCTGAGCGAGGAGAAAGGGAAGCTGGCTGAAGGCACGGTCAAAGACGAAAGTCTACAAGTGTGATCTGAAGATGGGTCAATAGGGAACAAGTTGGAGGGATTGAGGCAGAGAGTTCGAGAGGCTTGGAGTGTTGTGGTTAAGGCAAGGCTGCTGATGGTGGAGCGTCAGAGGGGTTGAAGGACATGCAAAAGACCTGAGCCAGTTGAGCAAATGGGATGGGTAGAGTGGCTGTGAGCAAGTTGGAGAGGTTGGGAGGTATCAGGGCATGAAGCATGTGTGAGGATTTTGAAAATGAACCATTCGGTGATAGGGAGCTAATGGAGCCCAATAATGGGTGGGCCTGGAGGTCCTGGGTTTGCTAAGAGTGAAGATATGGGCAGTGTAGTTTTCAATTAATTGGACTTTGTAAAAGGTTGATCTGGGGAGACTGGTGAGACATCCCTTATCCCCCTCAGAAAATACTGATCTTTGCTGGGATACAGTCACATAGGTGTGCATTGCCCTCCAATGTCTCAGCCACATGGCCAATCGTTATACTTGAAGTATTGCACTTAGATGGTTACCACATTGTATGGGGGCTGTCAAGGAGGAGACCAATAAGGATAATCTACAGTGTTAGGGCCATGAGCTATGAGGAATGGTTAGAGAGATGAAGGAGACATGCGCACAAACACACACACACATATAAAAACATAGAGATCTGATATCTACACTGGGGCTGGTCCCTGTTAAAGAGGATATCAGGCTCTCTGCTGTGCCATCATATATTTGCATTCATTTATTTTTAACATGAAAATGATCACAACATACTAAACACTACTTTTATTAGTTATCAGTTTTTTATAAGGTAATAAACCATATTGTGAAAAGTAACATAATCACCTTTGTCCATTGCATCCAGTAATAAGAAATCTGATAGAATTTTTCCCAAACTATTTTCTGCCTCCACCCAAATAGTATACTCAACATAGTAGTGAATATTTGGGTAAAAGATTGTGCAGAAATTGTTGAAATGCTCTGGTTTGCAGACTTGTACATGTCCTGAAGAAATACTGAAACGCAGAAAAAAATGGAAAGTAAAACAAAATGCAGATTAATTTATGGTAACAGTGGCATCTCATTCAATGAAAACTACATCTATTCTTTATTGAAAGCAAAATGCAGGTAGGTCTGTACTTGTCAGCTGGACTTGGAGGGACAGACAGATCAGTGAGGTCAACGATTCTTCCCATTTGTCTCCTGCTGACTCCCCAGGCCAACCCCTAAACCTAGAGAGGTTCTAGTTGATCAAGTGCTGGGACATTAGACAGACAATGCCTGCAATGTCAAGTTATGTGGTTTTAGTTGGGTAAACTCCAGCAGTAACCCACCTATGCACTCTGGGGTTTCCAAGCCTTTGCTCGTACTGACCTTTGTCTTTTTAGGTAAGCAGAGTGCGTCCCTCAGGGGAGAGAGTGAGCATTTTACTAAAGTCACAAAATAAGTATTCTCTTTCTCTGCTGAGAGCTCCCTGTACCTCCTCATCCATCTCAATCTCTCTGCTGTCTTCAAATCATTCTACCCTCCCCCATCACTTCCCCACCTCTGTGAGACTGCACTTTCTTGGTTCCATTCCTACTTTTACTTAAACACCACAATAAACTTGGTTTCTGGATCATTATGTGGCCTTATCGGGCAGGGCAATTGACTGCTGTTTGGGTTCTACTGAATCGATCCACAAAAAAACAACTGTGCATGAGTACATGGTCATTTCCACCTGAATAAGTGTGCATGTGTGTGTTTGATACAGGATTAATTGCTATCAACAGCTATTATTATTATCTCCATTATTGTAGGATGCAACTACCCGGATAGTAGACAGCGAACTAAATGGACCATGGTCTTTTTTGTCTAGCAATTCCTATGTTCCTACGTGAGGGAGATGGTAATAGAGGGGTATAGGAGTAGGGTAGTCAGAGGGCATGAGGAGAGATGAAAGGTCAAGTGGCGTAATAAACTTGGCAAGGTTTAGTTGAGCTAAATAGCCTATTTCGGTGCTGTACTGTGTAAATCAATGCAAAGTACCCCAGCAGCTTCCTAACTCATTTATCCTTGCCTCATGTATCATGGCCAGGGCATATCAGAAAGGAAATGAGCCTGAGATGGCATAGTACGTATTCAGGCCACAAGTTCTGATAACATTAGGTTACTTGTTTGATTTCATATAGAAGTAATAAACTGGATACTCACGACAGCTTAAGCTTAGTTTGTGTGTGTCTTTCCACAATCCAGGAACAGGTCATGTTTCTATCGTAATATGTGATGCAGGACAAATTGGTGGGTTTCTCAGGTGGCACTGGAGATAAAAAGACGTGATGATTCAACACTCATGTGTAGAAAAACAGAAAGATATAATTTATAATATAATAATAAAGTAACGGCAGCTGTGTTTTTGGCCACTGTGCCCCGAATCTCTGGAACTCCCTGCCTCAAACCCTCTGTCTTGCCCCCGCTTTACCCGTCTTCAAATCACAGATTTTCCTCTTCGCCCGTACCTTCAGTCACCTCCCCTCCCTTCTCAGCTCAGTGTCAAACCACACCGCTCTTAAGCGCTCTGAGATGCTACCCGCATATATAAATACAAGCTTGTGTTGTTATAATGGCCACTTGGGCACGATACTCGAGGATGCGCCTAGAGCTACACCCGAGTAGGAGGACACCTTTAGGAGAGCAGGGAAAGTTCGTGTACAGAAGATTTAGTTTTATATTGGTGAGCGAGGTTAAGCCTGCTCACCCCCATTTACCGAATTAATAACGTATAAAAGATGAATCATTCAAAAGAGTGGGTTTGTTTCTGTTTGTTTTGACCCTGAGAGCGAGTGTTGCAACACTCAACACCACCTTTCAGTCCCAGCCGGTACTTATTGTCCAGACACAATGGCTGCAAACAATGGCTGCACTGAAGCAACTAAACCTTCGACAGAACAGAGATGAAATGGTGATATTTTAAGTTCCGAGTCGAATAGAAATATTCCAGTGTCTGCGTTTTCATTAAAAGTAGAGCATCAATTAAAAAAAAGCTGTCCCTGGACTCAAGCCAGGCCCGGGAGGGAGCACAAAACATTGCAGCTGTTGTGCTTTGTTCGAAAGTAATACAAAAACAAACTCCCTAATTCCAAGCTCCCTGAGGAGATCGAATAAGTATTTAAAATTATGAAGGGTTTTTGAGAGGGGGGAATAGGGAAAGATTATTCCCCCTCCCCACCCCCTCGGCTCCTACTCCATCATCTCAGGGGTTCAGCCAGCAGTGTAAAATCCTTTGGGATGTTCTCCCAATGTAAAACAACAACAAAATTACATTTGTACAGTGCCTTTCACGTCGAGAGGGCGTCACAAGGTCCAAGACAATCAGTGTTTCAACAACAACAAGATTCCATTTATGAAGCGCCTTTCACGTCAGGAGGACGTCCCAAGGCGCTGCACAGTTGGGTCAGGACCCGAGCAGGGGGAAATGGTCAGGGTGAGGGGAGGAAGGGAGGGAGAGAGGAGGGGGGAAATGGTCAGGGTGAGGGGAGGGAAGGGAGGGAGCGAGGAGGGGGGAAATGGTCAGGGTGAGGGGAGGGAAGGGAGGGAGAGAGGAGGGGGGAAATGGTCAGGGTGAGGGGAGGGAAGGGAGGGAGCGAGGAGGGGGAAGAGAGTCGAGAGGGGAGCTGAAGGCACGGTCAAAGAGAAAGGTTTTGAGACCGGCCTTGAAGGAGGAAAGGGAGGAAGCAAGGCGAAGGCACTGGGGGATGGAGTTCCAGAGCCTCGGGGCTGAGAGGCTGAAGGCCCGACCACCGATGGTAGGGCGGTTGGGGCGGGGGACGTGGAGCAGACCGGAGCCAGAGGAACGGAGGGTACGGGCAGGTAGGTAGGGGGATAGTAGGTTGGAGAGGTAGGAGGGAGCAAGGCCGTGAATGGCCTTGTAGGTGAGGATGAGGATCTTGAAATCAATCCTCTGGGGGATGGGGAGCCAGTGGAGGCGAGCGAGGGTGGGAGTGATGTGGTCCCGAAGCCTGGTGCGGGACAGTACACGAGCTGCAGAGTTCTGAATGACCTGCAGCTTGTGGAGGGAGGTGGCGGGAAGGCCGGCGAGGAGAGAGTTCCCATAGTCCAGCCTTGAGGTGACAAAGGCGTGAACCAGGGTTTCAGCAGCGTGAGGGGTGAGGTAGTGCCGTAGTCTGGCGATGTTCCGGAGGTGATGGAAGGCGGTGCCAGTTGTGGTGCGGATGTGAGGGAGAAAGGACAGCTCAGGGTCGAACAAAACGCCGAGGTTCCTGACTGGCTTTGAGAGGTGGAGAGTGCAGCCTTGGATGCTGATGGTGTCAGCGCCTGAGGTGCGGAGGCGCTGACGTGAGCCAATCAGGAGGGCCTCGGTTTTTCGCACGTTGAGCTGAAGAAAGTTGTCTCTCGTCCAGGACTCGATGTCGGACAGGCAGCTGTCAGGACATCGGTGGTCGTGGAGTTGAGAGTAGAGGAGGAAAGGTAGAGTTGGGTGTCATCCGCATACATGTGGAAGTTAACTCCATGTCTGCGGATGATGTCACCAAGGGGGAGCATATAGAGGGTGAAGAGGAGGGGACCGAGGACAGAGCCCTGAGGGACACCACATGAGACAGTGCGGGGGGTGGAGGAGAAGCCATTCGTCGAGACAAAGTGAAGACGGTGAGAAAGGTACGACCTAAACCATTCAAGGACAGTGCCTTGAAGGTTGAGGTGGGAGGACAAGCGGTGGAGTAGGATAGCGTGGTCGACCGTATCGAATGCTGCCGATAGGTCGAGGAGGACGAGGAGACAGAGGGAGCCCTGGTCACAGATGGTCAGGATATCATTGGTGACCTTGACCAGGGCAGTTTCTGTGCTATGGGCAGCACGGAAACCTGACTGAAGGGGTTCGAAAAGAGAATGGGTGGAAAGGAAAGAGCGCAGTTGGGAGGCGACAACTCTTTCCAAGACCTTGGAGAGAAAGGGGAGGTTGGAGATGGGCCGGTAGCTTGATAGCTGCGACGCATCAAGGGAGGGTTTTTTCAGGGTGGGCGTGATGATGGCAGTTTTTAATGGAATGGGGACAGAGCCAGAGGAGAGGGACAGGTTGATGATGTCAGTGATATGTGGGGCAAGAAAGTGGAGCTGGGAGATAAGGAGTGGAGTGGGGATGGGGTCAAGGGAGCAGGTGGTTGGTTTTAGGGATAGGATGAGTTCAGTGACAGAGGGTGGGGAAACGGGTACGAAGGTGTGTAGGGGAGGATGGGTAGGAGTCGGAGTGTGGGAGGGAAGGGGTGGGTGGTGGGTGGAAGTTGGAGGGGAAGTGACCGCGGAGCGGATTCCCTTGATCTTGGATTCAAGGAAATCCAGCATCTCCTCGCAGTGAAGGTTGGAGGAGATGACCTGCGCGGGGTGGCGGGGGGGACGGAGGAGTCGGGTTGTGGTGGAAAACAGTAGCCTGGGGTTGTTCTTCGCCTCCAGGATTATCCTGGAGTAGAAGGACGACTTGGCCGAGGCTAGAGTGGAGCGGTAAATTTTGAGGAGGTCCAGCCAGATTTGTCGGTGGACCGTTAGGCCAGATTTGACACAGGTGCGTTCAGCAGCCCGCACCTGGCTTTTCAGTGAGCGGAGGTGGGTGGTGTACCAGGGGGAGGAGCGGGAGTAGGAGACAGTGCGGGAAGTGATGGGGGCAAGAGTATCGAGTGTGGAGGAGAGGGTATTGTGGAGGAGGGAGAGAGGAGAAGAGGGGTCGGTGAGGGTTGAAGGCCAGAGGGAGAGGAGTTCAGAGGACTCCAAGGCATCGGTTAGGGATTGTGGGGGTAACTTCTTCCAAGGGCGGTAGAAGATGGTGGTGGGTCTGGTGGAGGTGGGGAGGGGGGTGGAGGTGGTGAAGGAGATGAAGTAGTGGTCAGAGATGGCCTTGTCGGTAATAGTGACATCCGAGACACTGAGGCCCCGGGTGATCACCAAATCGAGTGGGTGGCCGTGACTGTGAGTGGGGGAGTTTATGTGTAAGGAGAGGTTGAGTGAGGAGAG